TATTGCACATAAGGTGTTGTATAATTATGAACAATCTCGTCAATTTCGTTAGATTTGTCTTTACGGATTATAAATGATATCTTGAACGTCCGAAAAAATATACTTAATATGTGAACGGGAATGAAATATTTGCCACTTGATATTTAGCCACCAACAAAATCAACCAACCGACATAATACACTAACAGTATACTTTTCCTTGAAGAGAACTTCTCATACTTTTCATTATAAAGTACAAATGAAATCTGTCATGTCAGTCACAGTGTTGGATGATGAGGTGGAATAGTTTTATTATACAAACCATCCTGAACTACTGAGTTTAAATCATCACACCTCAGCAAGCACGACTAATTTATGCGCAGACCAACCCATCATACAATAGCCCAAAAGGAATCTGTGATGTACCCATCCATATTCAGAAGTCATGGAAGTGGGAAATACAGATACTGAAACTGACTTTAGTGACAGTCTTATATTACGAATACAGAGATGAAATGCTGGCACTCTAAATTAAAGCGGACAAGATTTTGTTATCATTGTATTGCAATGTTGCTGTCATTTGTATTATACAATCCATCCTGACATCAAAATATTGCTGATTTACCATGTGGCTATATAGATATACATAATAAAGTGCAAATATGGTCAGTTTTTGTTGATGCGTTTAAATAATTTTGTTATACTAGTCAGCCTGAGGTATCAAAATTACTGAAATTTTGTTGCGAGACAATATTTTGAATAAAAAGAGGACATGCATGACATGCTGGCAATCTAAATTGATGGGGATAATTTTTGTTGTCATTGTATTGCAATGTTGCTGTCATTTGTATTATACAATCCATTCTGACAATAAAATATAGCTGCTTTACTATTTGGCTATATAGATATACATAATATTAAAAGTGCAAATATGGTCAGTTTTGGTTGATGCTTTAAAATAATTTTGTTATACAAGTCAGCCTGAGGTATCAAAACAACTGAAATTTTCTTACGAGACAATATTTTGAATAAAAAGAGGACATGCTGGCTATCTAGATTGATGGGGACAAATTTTTGTTGTCATTGTATTGCAATGTTGCTGTCATTTGTATTATACAATCCATCCTGACATCAAAATATTGCTGATTTACTATGCGGCTATATAGATTTACATAATAAAGTGCAAATATGGTCAGTTTTGGTTGATACTTTAAAATAGTTTTGTTATATGAGTCAGCCTGAGGTATCAAAACTACTGAAATATTCTTGCGAGACAATATTTTGAATAAAAAGAGGACATGCTGGCAATCAAGATTGATGGGGACAAATTTTTGTTGTCATTGTGTTGCAATGTTGCTGTCATTTGTATAATGCAATCCATTCTGACAACAAAATATTGCTGATTTACTATGCGGCTATATAGATTTACATAATAAAGTGCAAATATGGTCAGTTTTGGTTGATACTTTAAAATAGTTTTGTTATATGAGTCAGCCTGAGGTATCAAAACTACTGAAATATTCTTGCGAGACAATATTTTGAATAAAAAGAGGACATGCTGGCAATCAAGATTGATGGGGACAAATTTTTGTTGTCATTGTGTTGCAATGTTGCTGTCATTTGTATAATGCAATCCATTCTGACAACAAAATATTGCTGATTTACTATGCGGCTATATAGATATACATAATAAAGTGCAAATATGGTCAGGTTTTGTTGATGCGTTTAAATAATTTTGTTATACTAGTCAGCCTTAGGTATCAAAATTACTGAAATTTTGTTGCGAGACAATATTTTGAATAAAAAGAGGACATGCTGGCAATCTAAATTGATGGGGATATTTTTTGTTGTCATTGTGTTACAATGTTGCTGTCATTTGTATTATACAATCCATTCTGACATCAAAATATTGCTGATTTACTATGCGGCTATATAGATTTACATAATAAAGTGCAAATATGGTCAGTTTTGGTTGATGCTTTAAAATAATTTTGTTATACGAGTCAGTCTGAGGTATCAAAACTACTGAAATTTTCTTGCGAGACAATATTTTGAATAAAAGAGGACATGCTGGCTATCTAGATTGATCAGGACAAATTTTGTTGTCATTGTATTGCACTGTTGCTGTCATTTGTGTTATACAATCCATCCTGACATCAAGATATTGCTGATTTACTATGTGGCTTTATAGATATACATAATAAAGTGCAAATATGGTCAGGTTTTGTTGATGCGTTTAAATAATTTTGTTATACTAGTCAGCCTTAGGTATCAAAATTACTGAAATTTTGTTGCGAGACAATATTTTGAATAAAAAGAGGACATGCTGGCAATCTAAATTGATGGGGATATTTTTTGTTGTCATTGTGTTACAATGTTGCTGTCATTTGTATTATACAATCCATTCTGACATCAAAATATTGCTGATTTACTATGCGGCTATATAGATTTACATAATAAAGTGCAAATATGGTCAGTTTTGGTTGATGCTTTAAAATAATTTTGTTATACGAGTCAGTCTGAGGTATCAAAACTACTGAAATTTTCTTGCGAGACAATATTTTGAATAAAAGAGGACATGCTGGCTATCTAGATTGATCAGGACAAATTTTGTTGTCATTGTATTGCACTGTTGCTGTCATTTGTGTTATACAATCCATCCTGACATCAAGATATTGCTGATTTACTATGTGGCTTTATAGATATACATAATAAAGTGCAAATATGGTCAGTTTTTGTTGATACGTTAAAAAAATTTGGTTATACGAGTCAACCTGAGGTATCAAAACTACTGAAATTTTGTTGCGAGACAATATTTTTAATAAAAAGAGGACATGCTGGCAATCAATATTGATGGGGACCAATTTTTGTTGTCATTGTACATGTTGTTTTGCAATGTTGCTGTCATTTGTATTAAACAATCCATCCTGACATCAAAATATTGCTGATTTACTATGCGGCTATATAGATATACATAATAAAGTGCAAATATGGTCAGTTTTTGTTGATGCGTTTAAATAATTTTGTTATACTAGTCAGCCTTAGGTATCAAAATTACTGAAATTTTGTTGCGAGACAATATTTTGAATAAAAGGAGGACAAAAATATTTCCAAATTTTTTAACCCTATATAAATTAACAGATTGACACACTCCCCATTTCCATTCTCAATTTTGTAATTATAAGTGCAAATATGGTCAGTTTTGGTTGATGCTTAAAATAATGTTGTTGTACATGTTGTACATGTACCAGTCATCCTGAAGTATTCATTTTTGGCATTGTTTGTCGATTTTATCTGAAAACCAAGTTTATAAGATTTACGCTACATGTTAAAACCGATAATAATAGCATTGTAACCAATATCGTTTTTAATTTATAGATAGGCAGATCGCGGATAAATTTGCGTTACAAGCAAAGTTGTATGCGTACTTTATTTACAAATACATGTATATATATTTAATCTGTATTGTTTATATAACCATCATAGGCATGACCACGGAGATTTTAATTTTATACATTAATTTACAATATTGTGATCAAAATTCGTTTTTTAAATCAAATAAATAATTTTGTAGTCGCACGCTTTCTTTGAAATTTAATTGCATTATGGGTAATTTCGGATCGTGTAGATAGAATGGGGAATGGTGTATGGTGTAATGTGTAAGGTGTATGGTGCAAAGGTGTAACGTGTATGGTGTAATGGCACAAGGTGTATGGTGTAATGGTGTATGGTGAATGGTGTAATGGTGTATGGTGTGAGTGGGAAGTTTACTCCATCCAAGGACTGTAACATATCGCTTTGTCAACAGTTTATTTTGATGTATCGGCGGAACATCATCATTACTTTCTAGAACAAAGTGAGAGATATGTTTTAGTCAGATTAATTGCAGTAGTCATATTTTCTTAGAGTACATAACGTAAGGGTTTCAAGGGAATTGGTATTTCCCAGAGTCTTTCTCTTTTTGTATTGTTTACAAATACGACATGATGTATCCACATGAACTGGTCGGATGTGTATTATATAACCCTCAGCTGTCATTTAGCATTAATTTTTTTGGAAACTACATTGTATATACACAACGACAAGCTGAAAGAAAAACCGACTCAAAACTACCACTTGCTTACATATTCACGGTTTGAGGTTGGCACAGGAAGAATGTTACGGGTTAAATCATGTTTATGAACGCTTAATGAACTACAATTGCTCTTATTTGCATTAGAAAATGTTTGTTATATCCCTGAAATTGTGTGAACAAACACTACATCAATCTTTTGACAATAAATCCAACACATTTGTTAAATTACTAACAACGAAAGTCCTTTAAATCTTTTTAAAATAAACATTGGGAAACTAATAATTAGAAAACTTCGTTGTAGTTTAGTCTCGTTAGCAGCAGACACCAACATATTGTAATTAATTGCTTTCCTTTATTGGGAAACACCTGAAATGTTTATCGATGTGACATTGTTTTCCAAATAATGTTCGTTAGTCATTAGGATGAAGGATATCTTTTCCTGGTAGCCTTAAAGTATGCATACAACTAGTTCGTTCTTACTGAGAATTTTATATCAAAATCTTCTTTTCCCATTCTTTCTCTATTGAGAATTTGCCTTTTTTTTCATAGCCATAAGTGTCTTCATAACATATCTATGCATAACTTATCTAGACATTGAACGATTAAGAGATGGTTATACGGTGTCATGACTTGTGTATAACTCGAATGTTGTATACTTCCTCTTACAGATAATACCTCTTTTTTCCGACTATATCTAAATTAATGCATGAATTGCAATATGTAAAATATATTACCTAACCGTCTAAATGAAAACATGAATATCGCGTTACCTTAAGCGAAGTAACTTAACATAAAAGAATAGGCTTACAACTGTTTGATGAAAAGAATTTTCTAAATGATCTTCTTTTGAAAATAAATTCACCTGTATTGATATAATATAAACGGTTTTGAAGATGACGTTTCAAAAATATATATCTACTTATATTTTTTGTTAGTTCGGAGTACTTCCGTATTCTTATGGAAATCATCTTGTAAAATGTCCAGACAATATTTTCTCAACACGGTGAGTAATTTTGGATCAAATGATAATAATTGGTTAATCCAACAGGCTTTTTAAAGAACTGATTACATACTTGATTTTTATTACTTATTTGTGTCTTTTTGCAGATTTTATTGGTCTGTTTACTGTGTATAACTTGTGAATCAACAGTGAAAGATATTTCGTGTACTATTGATAAAGTTGACAAATGTACAAAGTATGGTAATGCAAAGTGTGATACAAACAATTGTCGGTGTATGGATAATTACTATGATGATGGAGCAACCTGTCAGAAAAGTAAGTTTTGTATAAGGATTGTACACGATACATATTTCTCCTACATGATATCTTGTATTTTTACTGTTAACTCGATATATAAAAGAATACTTTCATTATATTGGAGTTAAGTCCTTTTCGACTGTCCAATCTTTAAACTCTAATATCAATTCTTAAAATCTTATTTTTAGAAAATAGTCATGGTGTGGCCTGCGGCGTTGTTGACGAATGTCTAGGTCCAATGACGTGTATAAATGAAACTTGTCAATGTGGTACAAATAGGTACTGGACAGGATCAAAGTGTGCTACAAGTAAGTTAAATCACGTCATTTAATTGTGTATCATATAACTGGGACTTATAATTTAATTAAAGACAATAGAGCTTGTGACGACTGATTTGTCAATTTTGAACGTTAGAGAACAATGATTCGTATACTTAAACTGAGAAGCTTAGGTACACTGTACATGTGAACATAACACATGATCAGAATATGATTCAATTTATTACTTTATTTAAAATGAAGCCTAAATTAACTTCCGAATTATAATTTGAATCTTAGAACGTCGTTGTGATCATTAAAAACGAAAGGTTATTTATTATCCATTGAAATAAGAAATTAAAAAAAATCAGAGGATGACGTTTAAACGTGACGATAATGGTTTAGTAACCCTTTGTTCAATTTAGTTACCAGGTTGCTGATTATAATATATCCCTACTCAGACTATACGGGATATTATTAACCAATTACTTAAACTACATTAAAAATTGTCCATCTTATACAATTCCATATAAATGAGAACTAGCCAGCAACACAGGTTTTATAAAGAAAAACCGATAATATAGAAACACTGAACTACAACAAAAGCAAACGCCAACCTACATAGAAACGGGCTGTAGATAACAGTGCAATACAGTACACACAAATTCAGAAACACTCAGCACAGAAAAATACACAAATTAAAAATATAATAAAACATTAAAACATGTAAACCGCTGAATAACAACGGACAGCTCACAGGAAATTTCCAACAACACACCAGGACACCACACACGAAATATAAACTCGGCGTCACATAAATGGATCAACATCACAAAAAGATTTCTTTGTGATGTTTATATTATAACAGGTTAATTTTTAGAAATAAAATAGATTTGTATTATGAATAGATACACGAATATAAGATAAGGATTGAGTTTGTACGTGTGTTGTTTTAAGTATTTTTTAACCATGACAAGAATATCAAAATGAAATTGTGTTTGTTATAATGTTATGATTTGTATATTCTAACCATGTCGGTTTTTCTTTTTACTCAAAACTGTGTATAAACAAAAACAATATATGCATATATTTGCAGTTAACTGTTTCTGTTCCGTTGTTTTCCTCTTACAGTAGAAGTGTAAAGAGGTTGATTTAGAGGGTTTTTCAGGGGGCCCGGCCCTCCCCTTTCGTGGGAAAAATTTTGTTGATTATATAGGGAATCACTGAACCATGACCCCTCTTAGGCAGTCAGTGGGCCCCCACTTATGAACATTTTTGGATCCTGGACTGGTGTTTCCCTTGATTTTAGTTTTTATCCCGGATTAAGTTTGTCTTGATTGATTTTATAACTTTTGAACAGTGGTTTACTACCATTGCCTTTATATATAAATACAGAAACACGTCGTATATCAATGCGAGTTCACATTCGGCAAAACAGTCATATTTCGGGAATAGTTCACGTTCTAAAATAAGTAAATAATGATGTGTTTATTACGCAAAATATTGGATTCCGACAAATTTGAAGTAAAAGTTGATTTTTGTTAATACTTTATAATACTTTTTTTCTTTTAGTATATACAATTATGGACTATAGAAAAGATGAATGTCTTGAATTTTACCGTATTTATTTTTCTGAGGACGTAGTCCGAAGGGAAATTAGTGGGTAGGGTTGACAATTAAGGATATGCACAATTTAAAAAGGGCAAAATCTTTTTTAATAATAACGAACTAACATTAGAAAGGTCTTTTGCTAACCATTGAACATACGTGTTAAGGACGCCGTTGCACATTTTCTACTGTAGATATAGAGTGTCAACAAAGCAGATAGATATTTTGTGTCTTAAAATGCCATTTGTACAATCAAGAAACTCCTCAAGTAAATATTAAAAATAACTAGAAAGTTTTTTTTTAAAAGCTATCCTCAGCCAGATGGATTTCTTATAAGATGGTCTTTCCACGGAAAAGTGGAAAACCCTAATTATAAACTTTTGTTTTTGTTCTAATCATTACATTGTTTATCTTCCGCCTATTCCTTTTTCTTGCGCAGTATTATTGTTTCACATGATGTTGCTGTGAAATTTAGTATGTCATATCGAACAGTTTATACGCTTTGGAATTGACCCTGTATAACTTAACACTACTTCTTATAGTCGTTATCTCCCCAACTCTGTTTTTCTTGTGGCATTCGCAAGTGCAGAGGAAACCGACAAATTTATGCATTTCATTTAAGTGAAATGCATTTGTAACTGGTAAACATTAAGTGATAGAGACATAGGGTCTTTGGATTTGTGTCATTGGTAACAAAACAAAAGTTCAAAGTCAAAGGTCAAGGTCATACTCTAAACTTTGATTTGGTCTCATTCACTTGTTTTCGAAAAACGTATTAGATATTGATAACATTTTATTTATTAAATTGTTTGTCTTAACATACATTTTAGATGAAAGGGTACGTTGACATTAAATGGCCGTTTTCTTTACTCATATTTATTATAATTACTTATAAATGACATAGCTCATTAACCATATATAAAAGAGACCTAGAGGGTCTTTGACTTTAGGGGAATGGTTTATGACCTTGAAATTTGGGTCAAGGTCAAAGATAATTGTGACGTTCATTATTTATCTTTGATTAAAATTCTCATGTATACATGGTAACGACATAAGACTTTTTGCATTAGGTTGCAAGTCATATAATCTTGAAAAAGTCAACCGGATGTGACCATGTGTTAACCGGAAGAAGCTATGTTATTGTACTTATTCAATCTTAAAGTATATAGAACCATATATGTGATGAATCAGTGTAAACTATCAAATAATACTGGAAGTGATATTTTCCAAACCGTTATTAACGGTGTCATTATGTCAAAATAAAAAGATGTTTTTTACATTGTAATCGATAATATTTCATGATGATTTGTAATAAAACATTGCTCAATTTCTTATTACATTTGATTAAATTGAAAATTGTATCGATTACAGCTGATAAACAAAACTGATATTATGATGTTATACTCAGGGATGCTGTGATATCGACTAAGTGGTTGTTAAAACTAAAACAAAATATCAAAATTATAATTTGGTATGTCACCTCTATATAAGACTCGTTAATTAAACTAAAATCAAAACAGTTGGAAAAATAAAGAGCAGTAAACACTGAAAATTCTGAAACATTGTCCCAAATTTGGTAATGGTAATTCATGTATGCATAAAGAATACTCTTAGTGTTTCAATTGATTTTAAATTTTATCAACACAATATTTGCCCAAAAGGAATCTTTCAAATATTGCTTGTACCATCGGGATCGAAACGTCAAACAGCAGCAGCATCGACTACGTGTTTGTACAAATTCATCAAAAGTACTAGACCGACAATTTGGAACGCCGGACTCGCGTTTGATATACATCAATCAACACTGTTAGATTGCCAAATCTAATATATAGCTGAAGAGCAGTAAAAGCCGAAAATTCTAAAACGTTGAATCGAATACGACACACAAAATACCATATGACACTAAGCTTAACCATAACATGCCTCATGTATATCCTGAGCTGGTTGCACAGATGTGTTTTTCCATGTTTGTACCGTCAAGTTTTGTAGTTATTGATACATACAGTGTTTTGTTTTCAGATAAAAGGAGAAATGCTTTACCATGCCCAGTACGGAATATTTGTCATAATCCTGAACCTTCTTGTGATTGTAGTATACGACAGTACTGTAGTGGTTCATACTGTTACCAACGTAAGTTGTATTTCTATTGATCCAATTCTTAATCAATTTATCCTTACCTGACCTGTCTGATTATTTTTATCTAATCAACGTGTGGTTCGTTCGATCTCAGTTCCTCATTGGTCAAATTTCGATTATGACGTCAAATAGTCTTGCATTCTTCTGAAATTTCCATTGTGATGCGTTTTACATTAAAAAAAAATCAGCTGTCTCGAGTTGATAAATATCGATGCATTGGTAGAATCCTTATTTATCAATACAAACATTTGTTTCGATGCTTTATATATTATATATAAAGGGTTTTGGTTTAAAATCTTCTAATTTATGTATGCGTCTTTGTATTTTAGAATTATGAGTTAGCGGGACCAATTTGAAAATACGTGTTTATATATATTTAATTTATTAATTGATACAATATAACAAAAACATGCACTAAACAAGTTCTGTCCATCTTTGATCTCTTTGACTTTTTTGAAGGAAAGAGTCGTGGTCAGACATGTAGTTCTGGAATAGAGTGTTTGGATCCATTTTCTTGTACAGGTGGGATTTGTCAATGCGCTTCGATTCAGTATTGGACAGGATCAACTTGTGTTGCAAGTAAGTTAAATTTCTGATTGCCGATTGCTCATTTGAAATGTATGTAAATAACCTGCTGTTTTAAATTAAATGAAAGTGACTTTATACATTCAATTTAATTAAAAAAAGGGAAAACTATTATAAATGGAGTTTACAGTTGGAAGACACCGGTATATCTGTATTTTACTTCTATTATAAATTCTTGTTATATTATTATAAGAAAAATATGTGTATCAGTTTGTTTTCCTTATAGACGATGTAACAGTCTGATGACTTTTCGATACAAACGAGGGTTCCTAGTTCTATAACACATTACGGTAAAAACCAAAATTGCAATTAAAGGCGATGCATTAACAATATTGTATTTACAGAAAAGAATATTGATGTAAACTGTTATGCTGATAAAGAATGTCTAAGTACAATGACATGTATAGGTGGGACCTGTCAATGTGCAAAGAATCAGTATTGGACAGGTTATACTTGTTCTGCAGGTAACGTTCAGTCATATTTTTATTCTAAGTTAAATATAAAGTTGACATGCAGAACTAATGATATCACTACCATAATACTACAGTTCCTGATGATCTCTAGATTTCGTATTATTGATTGTGTTGTTAAATTATATCTGATTCATTTCCATATACCTGCAACTTCTATTTGTTCATATATCAATAACATATGCGGGGATAATGCCATTTAGTTACACAAAACGATGAAAGTAACCCAATAAGTTGTATAATTTTGTTGTTGCCGTCTGTTTACTTTAATTGCTTTTAATATAAGCTATTCACAAACACACATTGGTTAGTCAATCACTTTAATTAAGTGTACTGTTATTTATCTATATTGTGTTAATATTATCGATGTTCACAATTAATAGTTCAGGTTTGCTTTGATTGATATTATATAGTGCAGACCTACTGAAAATAAAATGAGTAATACATATTGTCCATTGATTACATGTGATTTCTGACATTTGTATTTATCAAAATCATACATAGACAGTCAAATTTCAAACAAAAAATGTATCACTTTGACTTCCCACACTCTTGGTCTGAAATTATTTGTCCGTCTTATTCTCATATGATACAATTATTTTCAACCAACAGCAATATGCATTCTTATTAATATCTGCCAATCTTAATTGTTTCCACTTAGATAAAAACAAAATGCGAAGAGAATCTTTTTCCTGCCTGTTTTCCAGAAAATGCAAAATAGCCAATTTGTTCAACTTTTTTAATATTATATATATCTATACAGAAATAGAATTATATACTGCAGGCATATAGTGTAGATATGTCATATGACGGCGTACATATGTTGCATAGATATAATAGTCATTGGGTGATTTGTCTTATAGTTTATGGAATAACTAGATTTTTACCAATGCTTTAGTCTTAGAGAACATAATGTATCTATAAGCTGTAATAAGTTGCTATTTGCTATGCATAAGCTCTACATAACGGCGAGTACTCGTTATTCGGTAGTGTGTATATTTTTACCTTTATGCTATTTGTGTCTTTTATGCGTAGTGCCGATCTGGTGAGTCACACTGAGTTTTACAGTACTCGGGTGCACTGTTGTCTTAAGTTCAGGGATTTTGAGCGCTTACACATATGTTTTATCCTACCTTATTCCCCCTGTCCCTGTCTCTAGCCTGCAATTCAGTAGTCCTCGTTGGTAGTTATATCTGTTTGGCTTATTTGTTGTCAGACAATTGGTTTCATGGTTAAATTGTTTTTTTTTTCCATTTTGTTATATCGGTGCATCGCATATACTGTCTATACGGTATGGGTTTTGTGCAAATATTTAAGATAATATCTCAAATTAACATTATTTGAATTATGTTGGATATCTGTCTCAATCATGTTTCATTTCCGCAATTTATATTTACCATAAAAAGATATTTAACCTAAACTAATACCTTAATTAAACACATCGTGTGTCAAAATAAATTCAAATTAAGGCTTAGTAGCATACAATGTATGTTAAAATTTGACAAATCTGTAGAGGAAGGTATCATGTAAGTTCTTCTTGTTTTGCATTAAATTGCCTTTGTCACAAGCTTTAAAGCAAATAAGAAGAACTCTATTCAAAACTATTAATACTAATGTATGACTGACTAAAGTCTTATGGCCACCTTAGGATTGTTACTTGAGAGTTCTACAATTTTGTTTTTATCATCGATTCGGCCTTTTGTATCGATGAATTTATTGATTGATTGATGCTTAGCCATAACTTTTGGCTATATCGAGACAGTCAGCAGAAGCCCGAGTGCCCGAAGAAAACCATCGTCATTCGGAAGAAAACCTACAATTTTGGTCAATTAAGATTGCAGTCGATCACACCCACTACGTGCGGTTAAAACTTACAATCTCAGTGATGACTACAAGGGATACAGAAGTTGAAATACTTTGACCTTTCGGTCAGCGAGGCCCCCTCTTTTTGCATTGAGAAATGATAATGGTTATATTAGATTAATTGATTCAGTTTTAAGAACAAAACATTCATTTGAAGAGAACTTTTAATTTGATATTGATGTTTAGAAAAAAGTGTGAATGAAACATGTACTGCTAATAACGAATGTGCCACTACACTGAATTGTTCAAGTGGGCGTTGTCAATGTTCTACAAATCAGTATTGGACAGGATCAGATTGTTCGGAACGTGAGTTTTATTTATATTTATAGGTTATTACAATAAAATGCATTGCATACGTTTTTCTTATAAAGTTCTGAATTTCAATCATTAATTTTCCAAACAACACATACAAACAAAAAGACACACATACAGGTCACCGTACGGTGTTAACCCAACACTAGGCCAGCTTGTATATATTCATTTTAAAATTGCCTAAATTAAAAATGGCTAATGTTCAGATGTCTTTTAAAAAAATCTTCCAACACCATATTTTGAAATAGCGAAAACATGTTTTTTTTTCTTTTACATTAAAACTAAAGTCTATGACTAACAAGATCCTTCACTTGAAATATACTCATAACTTTTTGTCATAGGATACAACGATATTTATAATAAATCTCAACCCTTTCCGTTTCAATTCTGATCAGAATAATAACAAAAAGTACCACACAATGACAAACGTAATCGATTAATGTAAGGTACCTAACTCTATGTTTTTTTTTTCTACAGAAAAGAGTGTTTCTGTAAATTGTAATGCAGATAATGAATGTCTAAGACCAATGACCTGTGAAGGCAGAACATGTGAATGTGCTATAAATCAGCGTTGGACAGGGTTGACCTGTGCTGCACGTAAGTAGTATCTTCATGTACCAATTATGATAAAAAAAAATTGATCCACATTTAATACTAATCCAACAATTCTATCATATTGATTACCTTATGGTAATTTTTGTATATTGTTATCAAATATTTAAAAAACAATAGAGAATGGAAACGGGGAATGTGTCAAAGAGTCAACGACCAAGTGCACAAGACCACCAATGGGTCTTGAACGCAGAAAATCCCACACCCAGACATACCAAAGTAGGGCATCAGCTGACTCCTAAACAAATATGTATACTAGTTCAGCAAAAAGGACGCTACAGTAAACATATAAATGAACAAAAATTTATAAAACAAACAAGACTTACAAAGATAAGAAGTTCCTGATTTGGGACAGGTGCAAACATGCAATGGGTTAAATATTTTTTATAAGATCTCTACCCTCCCTTATATCTTTAGCCAATATGAAATAAACAAACACACAGCAATAGGCACAGTAAAACCTGATTTAACAATTTAAGAACTGTTTGCAGTTACTGACACAACACCTCCTGTCATCAATCAAACTGATTGAAAGACTATATCTTCACCATATGAGGTGTTTCATACATCCAATCGCAGGATTACATGGAAAGTTATCATTTTGGTTTTGTTTTAGACTAATAACTAAATGTACTTATGGTACACTTCTTTCTTTATACTCTATTTGTCCTCAGTGTCCGGTGTTCCAACAAGCGTCACTCTTAGTGCGAAAAGCAGAAGTATTCGGATATCATGGAGTAAGCCGGTCGAATCAAAAAGTACCATACTAGGATACCGTTTAAGAGTCCTAGTAAATAATGATTGTGTAGCAGAAGTACTCCTTGTTTGCAGTACTGGCTGTACCAATGTGGTACGTATTTTGTTGGTAAATAATTCGTTGTAAGCCAATCAAATTAAGACAAAGACATGCTTATAACCAACAAATACGGTTCAATCATTAAACAATCATTTAAACATAAAATTTGCGTTCAAATGAAACATTGGAAATGTCATTAAATTTACCGGTTTGTTTTAAGGTAAAAAAATATCCAAATGCTAAGATTTTCTACCGTCAGGATATGAAAGCCTTAGGCGTATTTGGTACAGCTTTCCTTTATTTTTTTACCCCCAATGATTTTGAACTTCGTATCAATTAAGTACTTCAATTGTTTGATTCGAGCCCAACTAATAAGTCCTGTGTAAAAGAAAAGCGCGTCGAGTCAGAGATCTGCCATCTCTGATTAGTCTAACAAATTTGAAAATAACAGGAAGCACAAAATAGAAGTGGTATGTCAAACGAATACTGTTATTCCTCATCCTTTTAATTGTGTTTTGGTGGGGCTGTCATGTAGCGTTTACTATCATCTGATGATTGATTTGTTAATTTCATCGTCATATATTGTCATTTTAAAATATTCAAAGTCATATTTTTCTGAATCACTTTTCCTTTTGCTGACTCTTATTATGATTATATCATGTCTACATATTGACTTTTGTGAACTGTGTACATGTATCTTCGTGAATAGTATGCGTTAAACTTTAATTTTCACTTAAATAAAAAAACAACAAGAAATTGCTCAACAAAGTTCGTTCGTAGTTGACTTGGAAGGTGTAAACGTGAAATGAATTATCCTCTAAAAAACCTACTTAACTAAAAGTACAAATCAAAAACTTAGTGAACAAAATCAACTTGTAATTTTTTCCTACATTACGAGAGTATGTTAAGCAGGTTTAATCAAAGTATCAAAAAGCGCTCTGAAAGACCAAAAATCTTAAATGTAGTACATGATTGATAACAATGCTGGTAGAAAACTAGTCCACTTGAATATCACATCCTACAGTATTGGCTTTCTAATTGTTGGGTTTGAGCCTTTTTGATAAAATGAAATAAACTTTTGAAATTGTGTCCTAACTACAGAAGATTGAAGTAAAACACTGTATCAGTATTCTTCTCTGAATGAATCAACTTTTCTTATACACTTTGAAAGCAAAATATTTTATAACCGTTCAGAAATATTTTGAAAACTCCGAGTAAAGAACCATTGTAATTTTGAGTGTATACATGTCGTCATTGAGGGTGTTTTGTGAATCAAATAAAACATTTAATGTTGGTATCCTATGAATCTATACCGAATGTCTAAAGCCTATATTCTCGTTATGTTCTGATCTGGTAATAGTTACAGATCTACAAGACATTTCTGCTTTAATTTCAGCTGATACAGCATGTGTGCTCTGCAGACAAAAGACAGATTCGAGAAAATAGAAGAAATATCGAACTGATGGAACCAATATCGTATGAAATAAACCAGTTACTACCTTATACAGATTATAACGTGTGGATAAATGCGATAAATGACGCTGGTAATGGCAACAAGAGTGAAACATTAGTAACAACTGATTCCGAAGGTATACATTTTGGTTAAAGTGACTGCAATTATTGCATGTAAGAACTTGCTGAACCTAAATAGAATAAACTTAACAGATGAGTTTCGACTTTTGTCATTCATGATGGATTGCGTTACTTATAAATGTATTATATAACAGAATACGAAGGTATGAGGCCTTTCTTGTGTGAACTTGGGGACTGTAGTAAACGTATATTAACTTTCATCCGTTTTGCATGGGTTAATACAAGATATGACTTATTAACATACATAAAAAATCAACATAAGTAACATAGCGGGAACAACTAGTATAGCAGGAACTGTTGACTCTTCAGGAGCACATCCATTCCAGACAGGTGTCAATATGTGACGATCGTGTTTCTCTATCTATTTGCTGTTTTTTTTTCTTCGGAAAAGGGTTTGGTTGTCTTTCTTAGAGTAATTGTTTTGAATACCACCTTGATAGTTTTCTCACCTAATTTTTGTATTAAAATACAAATTGTATCAGTGTGTTGTTCTTTCTGATTTAATCGCAGATGTAGAAACCCTTGTCAACGTATATTTGATCCGCCTTACGATGTTCCACTAGAAGCTTTGTTTAAACACAATGCCGTAATATATGTTTCTGTTAGAAAAAATATTATATACCATTTATTCCGTTAGGAACATAAATGTAATATTCATTCAAGTGGACATAATATCTTTTTCCTTTTGAAACTTATATTATGAATGCACATCCTTTTCGTGACACCCTTTTATCATTTGTTTGTGATAATATACGCACAAATAAATTGCTGTGTTCCAATTTCCAAACTGCAACCAGTATTTCTTATTCTAATATGACGTTCTTCTTTCGCTTTAGAAACAAAGCCATGTTCAAATTGCAATATAAAATGGGCTGCACGTATTTGACGTCACAATTAAAATTGCAATTTTCAATAATGCTGGAGATCAACATGTTGCTTGCTAGAAAAATAAATAAAATCATTCTAAAAGTAAGTGTACATGTATCTGTTATTTTTTCATTGTGAAACGGTTGATTTTTCTATATGGTTTTGGCTTCACGAAAATCAAAATGATTGCCTTTCGAACGTGTATGATAGGTTGTTTCAAAGTACAAAAGTTCTTAATTTTCATATTAGAATCGAGATTATGCTATTATGTCATGACTTATGCCCATTCTAACATGGTTAAGCATTATATTTGTCAACATTTTACACCTCGCTTAAGCTAGGTATACAGATAATGACAAATATAATGCCCACCCATGTTAAAATGAGCATATACATTGTAGCATGGTATCGAAGAATTATTTCTTATCAACTCCCTATTGGTTGTTAGTTTAGGAACATATATGTCAAAGATAACTATCGACGGACATGTTCCAAATATCCTTGTCAAAATCCCAACCGATTCTGTTTGATAATAATATCACCGAATTTGTCCTACGCATTACAATCACGGATGGTGACACATCTGCATACTTTTTAATGACATATGAAAACAGGTCGTTATTTTAGTGGAGAGGGGTCGCGTATGTTTTGCGGTGTTTTATAGACTGTTTGACTTTTCGTATTTTTTTTTGTTCCTTGTAGTAAAAGTGCGATGATAAAATGAATTACTAAACCCTTATCTGTGAATCATTATTGGTACACAACATATTACGTAATACAGTATATCGTAAGTGAACCAGTACTTTTTTTAATAACAAGTTGATTATAAAGTTTTGCAACTTCTCGATCGAAAACTACTGCCTTCAATTCGATACTAATTTAATTACCTTCAATAATTTAAGTTGTCCAGAATAAATTTTTTTAACTTTGCATGCCATGTTGAAATTCATCATTTTGCCTATATGTTTAATAATTTATGATTTCTTCTTTATTTTTCTTGGAAGTTCCTCAAAAGCCTTCTGAGGTAGCTGCGTTAGTTGAGAGTTTTAGTGAAATAAAATTAACATGGAACCTGCCAGGACCAACACCAGGGATTACTACATATTATATCAAAATGTATGAAGTGGTTCTAAATGCTCTACCAGCATTTATTAAAGGAGTTAACGTAATTGGTAGGTATATTTTGTTTCCATATATGCTTGATACTCATTTCTTTGTACATGTTACAGGTTCTGAAATTGACTTAATCTTGCAATCAAGAAATAATTGGGAACTTCATAACTGCACAATCAGGACCTAAACCAACTAAATGTAACTATGTCTTAGAGATAATTTTTTTTTCTTGATCCTAATAATAAAATGTGACTTTTGCCCAGATTTTGACTTCCAAAATGACAAGACTTATCCTTCACATTGATCTTTATAAGCGTCTGTGTAAAATAAAACGTTGAGTAACAGAAGTATATCGCATAAGTGAAAAGTATACCAAAATTCCGAAATCCAATGCATATTTAAAACGAGAAAGTCCATAAATAACTGTTAAATAAACTGAACAAGTGAAAAACAATTGCCATATTCCTGATATGGTATAGTCATTATCCGATGAAAATGGTGAGTTAAACGTGGTTTATTAGCTAACTAAACCTCCCATTTGTATTTACAGTTGTTTATAATTCCGGTATATTTTTTGTAAGCAACCCAAACAGACATATATGATAGTTTAACGAAACAATAACAGGGATCCAGCAGTCAAAACTGTGAAAATGTGTAGTAAATAGTAATCTGTCAAAAAAAAAATATTCATAGTTAAATTTGGTTCCTGATGACGATTAATCCAGAAAAGCGCTTCTGACGCAATTATTAAATGGTTTTGTTTTCATTTTTGATAAACAAGTTTATTGTTAAACTGGTTTAATCTTTTAATCTGCGGGTTTAAAAGGTGAGACGCCTAGATATAAAAGAACGTGGTATAACCTTATAAACTTTGTTTTTTGTGTTATTTTAAGGTTTTAATAAGCAGGTCGCGCAGTTGTCTGGACTAGAGGCATATTGGAATTATACGTTTACAGTAGTTGCTACGACAGATAAAGGCAGCAGTGAACAGTCTGATATGTCATCTGTAGTAACAACATATCAAGATGGTAAATATACAGTTTAATTCAAAATTCATTTAAAAAAAAATATTTTTGAAATCGATCATTAATTATGAAAAGTTTAACTGAGGTTTTGAGCTGCCATGTCAGTTACTGGTGTAGTCCTTTTTAAATTTATCTTTCCTTGTCATTTTCCTTAATTTCTTTTGTTATCTATTCTTACATCGAACTCGGACTAGTTTTACTGTGCGCATTGACGTGTGTTTGTTTATTCTATATTGGCTAGAGGTATGAGGGTATGATTGAGATCTCCCAAACATATTCAACACCGCTGCATTTATTGCGCCTGTAACAAGTCAGGAGCCTCTGGCCTTTGTTAGTCTGTATGTTTTTATTTTAGTTCATTTATATGTTTTGGAGTTTAGTGTGATGTCCATTTTCTATGAACAAGTACATATTTTTGTTTCGGGGACAACTGAAGACCACCTCCGGGTGCGAGATTTCCCCGCTGTATTGAAGACCCATTGGTTGTCTTAGATTGTTTTATGCTCTTTGGTCGGGTTGTTGTCTCTTCGACACATTCTCCATTTCCGTTTTCAATTCTATACTACGAAACTATCGCCAACGTCTCGCAATTAAACCTTATTATTAACAAATACTCTTGTATGCCTCGTTTATCCTGTAAAATCTAAAGTACCAGGTATATTAAGGAATCAAAATGATGATCATCAAACAACCAGGATACATTTATGAAAACATAACACGCTTTCACTAATTGTGTGTACTCGTAACTTCAGTGTTTTTGTTTGTTGTTTGTTGTTTTTGTTCTTTGTGCCGAGATGATGATTTAAGCCCTTTTCAACTGATGTGTTTTCTTTGCTGTAAGAGGGGAAATTCATGTGCTATTGATGTATTTCAAAACAGTCTTAGTTGGTCTCCTTTTCTCTCCTGTTTGATTTTACTGGTTGTTTTTAATATTTCAGCATATTAAAAATAAATATTTGTGTTTTGCCTCTACATTGTACATTGTTTAAATGCTTTACTAACTAGTATTGTAAATGTGAATACGATTTTTGTCTGACGCTTAATACTAAGTTTTGAAATTAATGACATATGATACTTGATTTTGATACTCTAATTATTTATTATAATAGAAGTTAATCTGCTTTCACAGCTCCCGGCAAAGTAACTAATTTTGTAATAAAAAGACCATCGGCGATCTTAACGACAATGGAAGTTTCCTGGGGTATGCCTTTATTAAGAGAAAGAAACGGTATCATTAGGGAGTATAAGATTAACCATAACATCAGTGGGGTAAGCGGTATATATTCTTAACATCTTTTACTTATTTTGTTAATATTCTAAACATTGAAATGTGTGAAAAATAATGTTTACATTTCTGAACCATCATAACGTATTTCACATACACATATATGTTTCTCATATACATAAATCATACACATAGGCATATGATCAACTTTGCCAAAATGTATGCAACCTTGTGTTAAGTTCAATTGAATGTATACAATGAACTTTACCACAGAATATATCACCTGAACATTAGCTACTGTATACATAGTAGTACGGACAATTCAGACAAAACCTTTATTGAGTAGTTTGGCATCAAACATCACAGAAGAGACATTTATTGTCAAAATACACATCTGGTCCAGAAATATTGGTACCGTTTATGTTATAACTAAAGGGTAAGTCTCATTTATCGATTAAGACATGGGATGTTTAAATGTTTCATTTCTCATTTCCTAATTTCTGTTACAAGACAAATGAAAGAAAACAAATTAAAATTAAGGTAATAGCATGCAAAATAAGTATGGTCGGATGTACCGGCATGGTAAGTGTAATTTACCATAAACCTGATAATTGTAGCAAATAAGCACATAAGTTTTATTTGTAATAAAAATACACGTCAGTTTGACACAAGTAAATGCACATGTACATGTATCATAACGATACTTCATTGAACTTTATTTTGCTAAATACACCTGTCCATTTATATGTAGACAACAACGACCGAAACAATAGCTGCAGAATCTGAAATTTTCCAAAAATTGTATTACATCACACCAGATAGACATTATCAGATTGAGGTGAGTTTTATTGAGCAATGTGCCAATAGTCAGACGACATGACTTATGCAATTTAAATTCTAGTCAAAGAACATGAAATATTCAACAAATCAATACAGAAATATAAGATGAATGTGTCGGAGAACACAAATGTTCCCGCTCAAGATTTGCAATGTTCCAAGTTTAAAAGAGTCTTAATTCTAGGACGGTAATGACTCACTGTCTAAATTCGAATTCTGTGTGTGAGTTTCAATAAATAATCGATAAACCAAACTTAAATTAGAATGCAGAAACTGAAAAATTTCCAATTTTCTAATCTATAGAGGGGCTTATCTCTAGAACGGTTAGTGACCTTCTGCCAAAATTAAAACTCTTGTCTGTATATTGTGGTTCTTATCATTGTATATGAATTTCATAAACTATCGATGAGAAAAACTAAAGTTAGAGTGTGGCAACGAATAAAAAAGCAATGTTTCAAGTTATACAGGGACATAAATTATAATACTGTCTGCTAGTGTTGGTTCTAAGCATTGTGTGTGAGTTGCATAAAATTTGTATAAAGAATGCTACAGTTCGAGTGCGGAAAAAAATCATATTGCGCGGCCGAAAAGACTAAAAGACGGAAGGAAGGACGAACGGTCAAGGGAAACACTTAACGCCTCTTTTGCCAGCGGCGCAGTCATTATAAAGTCAGCAGTTCGTGTATATATACAAAAAAAATATGTAAAAGATAATAAACATGGTAAACAAAACAGAGAGAAAGCTTTTCAACAAATACACGTTGCACAAATTTGATATTGAATTAAAAAAGTCTCAAAAAAAATCTGACTTTAAACCATCATTTCCATTGCTGCTACATATGAAAAGCCGACAAATAGTATGAAAATTTTATTCTTAAAAGCATGAAGTTTTTTTTTAACCTTTAATATCTTTTCAGGGTTTCGATTGTCCAAAGTACTAAAACTAATTTTTTAAGAACATTTTTGTGTAAAAGCTTTTTTGCATACTTTTACAGATATATGCTATGAATTCACTCAACCAAGCTGGAGAAAAACTGCTGAAAATATATTACGCTTCATCAAAAATTGAATGTAAGCTTGTCGTCATTTGCAAATACCAGTGAATTGATTTCAAATTTCAATAGATGAGAAGTAAAGCAATATATATTATGCGTAAAAAAAAAGGAAATTGATTAGCAAAATCCTTTGTTAAAAAAATGTGGTCTCTGTCGCTCCCAGTACAGTGAAATCAAAGAACATGCATTCATATCTAACAAAACGGGACAACTGGTGTAATTGTACTCTATTAAACTTGAATATAATCTGCTCCTCTTGCAATATACATTTTATAGAAAGCACAGAGTAAGGTTGAATTTCAACATATACAATGTGTTAAAACCTTTACTGCAGCATGCTCATTCTTACATGCTATTTATCATCATTTGATTTGTGTTAGGTTCGTATTTTGATGAAACAATATTACTATATTAATCAGTCTTGGCTATTTTGTGCATTTACCTTACTTTTGTTTTTGATGCGAGGCATGCTATCAATTATAGATTTTTTTTTATTATTTATCAACTGTGTAAATTTTTTTTTTCAATTTTTACTATGAATATATGTAGGTTTCATTACCTCATTTTTATCACTTCTTATATTGCTTGAAGCACCATCTGGTCTGAATAAACATAATGATCCTCGATTCGGAAAAATTCAACACATTGTTCATGAACTGGGATATGATTCAAAATGGAAACATCTATTCAGATTGTTATAAATTTATGCATACATATAATTTTCAAAATAATACTTTCAACATAAAGATGAGAATCTGTATATTTTTAGCACAACCACAAGCGTCACCTAAAGGATATACAATAGAAACAGTGGTAGGAGCTGCAGTTAGTTGTGTCATAGTCGGTGGTATCATCATTGGCCTTGTATTTTGCTTAATCTGGAGGCGCAGACGAAATATAAATTCCAAACAATCAAGTGAGTTTCAGTAGTTGCTGAGGTATTGTAATATTATATACTTGTATACCTTGGTAAGGTTACACATTTGTAACAACCTTCTGTAGAGAATGTTTATCAAATCAATTTGTATTAGGTTTTCGTTTTGACAAAATGTGTATGCTAGGTTCAGTTTTGTAGGTACATTTACAGTTTTAAATAAAAAAAAAGAATGAAGTAAGAAATACGAATTGATGCACAAAATAAATTCGATATAAATGTGGAAACGCATGAACGACAAAAGAAAAAAAAGTCAGAATGTTTTTGCATAGCAATAAACAGTTTAAAAAAGATTACATGTGACGTCATAAAATGTTAATTTTTATTCATGAAGCGGCCAGATCTTTAGAGGAGCCATACCCTTTCACCTCGTTGTTAGCTTTTAATGCATACGTTCCTTATTATTCGCGGTATTTTACTATAAGTTACATATAAAATTCGAGTTTCGTTCCGGTTTAGCGGTTCCCCTAGCCGTTTCTGCATCATTGATTAATTTTATTGTCATAGAAAATAAGAATTAACATATTTATCATTAATACTTGTCGAAATATTCCTCCGTCGATATGCTTGCCTAATAAATTTTGGAAATATCCAAATTCGTTGGCAATATGTTTTAACCAATTTGAATAGAAATTTTGATAAGACTTTCTCACCATTGTTTATTTCAAAGTATTTTTTATCTCAGTAAAGAAATCATAGTTTAAACCTATGCCTATACTTAATTAACAATTTTTTTTTTTTTTACTTTACAATTTTTCTAACGATGTCATATGGTACGGTACTGATTATTCTTAACTGAGTTGATGTAATTGTTTTTACAGAATCAAAGTCTACCCAAGAAGAGTCAAAGATGTATGTAGAATTTATAGTCATACTTTGTACCTTTTGCAAAATTTAACAGACTCATACAAGTGAGAGGTTTAGCTCGTTATAAAACCAGATTTAATCCACTGTTTTCTACATAAGGAAATGTCTATACCAAGTCAGGAATATGACATTTGTTTCTTTCGTTTAATGTGTCTGGTGTTTTGATTTTGCCATTTGATTAGGGACATTCTTTTTTGAGTTTTCCTTGGAGTTCGGTATTTTTGTCATTTTACTTTTTATCAATATACAAAAATGAACTAATAGTGACCGATTCCTGTTTAATTTCTGTGTCATTTGGTCTCTTGTGAAGAGTTGTCTCAATCATAGAATTAACATCTTAAAGAGGAACAACTACTATCAGTATGTTTTACGATTGTGTTTAATAAAGACGAACAGATACCTAGAGGAAACTCATAAATTATTGTTATTATCAGGCAGTCAATTTGTCATATAAAAACAGACAATAAACAGTTCACGAAACACTACAAAAAACCGAAACATTCGGCAATACGAACACAAAAAACCTAAATCCAAACTAAGGTTCTCCTGATAACAAACTTGTTTTTTTTCTGAAATAGTCAAATAATTAAATTATGATGGCCTCTTCCGCCTTTACACCAACAACAATATATCGTACTTTTCTTCGACATAAAGTGCATTAGTGGCGCTCGATATAGACATATGACAGTTCTAATAATTTTAAAAGTCAAAGTGCATAAAAGTAAAAAATTTCAAAACAGAACATTTCAAATAGCTGACACCATCAACGCCTGGGATAAGCAATTCTTAGTTTTTGTCCGAATGACTAACGATTTGTGACCGAAATAGGGTCACAGGAACGAAGTTTTATTTAGTGAGAAATATATACGGGTATGAATTAAAAAGAAAAAACAAATACATTGCTCAGCCAACACATTTTTTAAAATATTACTTACATTGCAGTGGAGGTCAATACGAGGAAATGGGAATAAACAATGTATCAGCTAACATAGAACTTAGAACAGCAGATGATAAAAACGTGTATGACCAGATTGATAGAACACCTACAGCAGATAAACAATATGAAAACATGATGTGTAAATGATATTTTGATGTTTCTATTTTGTTAACGTATGAGTTACTTTTAATGTACAAAACACGTGTTCATTGACTAACCTTTTTAAAATCTTAGTAGACGAAGAAACGGGCAAAAATACTACGGCACACTAAACATCTGTTAGTAAAATAACAACAGCATGGCAATTTTTGAATTTTATTTCAAAATGAGTTTTATCTATCAGCTCATTGACACAATTTTGTCATGTGACCGTGACGTCATCAACGTTTTTCATGAATAACTCCAGCTTGAAACGGAATTTAGAATTAAATTATAAGGAATTACTATAAAAAACAATTTCTGTCTATTTGAAATAACATACAAAATGTGGTGCTACCTTTAAAATAACCCGGTACGCGGGTCATTCAGTATGCACCACATTTTTAATGTTATTTCTTCATAGACACACAAAATATTACAGTCATTCCGTAGATACATTGCAACATTTAATATATTTATTTTTGTTTGTGTTTTAATTTTATTTGATAGATCTAGATTTTCAAAGAAATCATAGTTACTAAATGTGTATCACTCATGTCACCAGACTGAGTGTAGGTTTCTTGTGCACATATATTCACGACTAATTTACAATAGTTTGGTTACTTGAACGTTAGTTTTCCGTAAAATATTTAAGTGGACTTTTTGTATCTTCTGCTTTTTAACTTTTGTTTCTCGCTCGTTAAACTTGTTATGTTTCTTTTCTGTCATAATAATAAACAAACACACTCTGTACATGCTGTATGTTAATCATTTCAATATCGGAATTAAATGATGATAAATGGTATTTTTATCATTATTGTATTGTTCTTAAAACAAAAATTGGAGATGACATTTTGAAAAAGAAATAAAAAAACATTGGTATTTTTTTTTCTTTTCTTTGTTTAAAGTTCACATTTATGTACCTATGCATGTTTTATATGTTTTCAGAACGGCTATAAGGAAATTACTAATGACTTTGTATCTTTTATTTGAACTTTGTCATATTTTATGTAGTTAGCTCTTTCAAATATACATAAAAGAAAGCCTTTAATTAAAATATATTTTTATAGTTGAAGTCAGCACATGTCATACTAGTACGCAACACATTTTCCAACATAAATTGCATCTCAGTAACAGCTAGTAAAATATGAATAAATATACCAGCGTTTCATATTAACAAATTTTGACAAAATGTCATCAAGTTTCGACTTTTTAAGAAAGATTTGAAAAAAGATTAATCGGATGAGCAGATCATTAAAATAACACGAAGAAAAAGAACTGTTTAGGTACAATTATAATTATTTTTGTATGGACCTTTTATTTCGAGTATTTCCTGTTTTAAGTAATACCCGTAATTTTCCCAATAGTTTTTAATTTTGCCACTTTAGCCATACAGAGTACTTAGAATTTTCTCCAGTGTTTGAAACCATGATGCGATGTCTCTCGTTGGCAGTCATTGTTCTGTCGCATATAAACTCGTCTCTCTGTCTGCCTTCACTTTCGGTTTACTTGTGAATATATAATTTGACGATAAGACTCATGGCATAGTTTAAAGTTTTTTGTCGCATTTATTTCATTCTAAGTCGCAGTTCTGAATCTACAAGCTTGACAACTAATCTAAATCGGGATGTAATTCGCTGTCGTTTTTCCCAATGTTACTTTAACTGAAATCTGTGTATAATTCATCTTGATTAAAAGGCGTGAATCGCTAAATCCAAAAACGTTTGTCTTTTCTAATTTGATTTTACAGTCCGTGTTGTCCCAATTAGGACACCTCCAAAAGTAACCCATCTCGCCGACCAAATATTTACAAATGTATACATTTCAAAAAAGGACAAATGGTCCATCAATGGAGTGCTTCCTGTAAATTACGTGTTTACGGTTTAATTTTCACACCAATTGAAAGTTATCTGTGTGATCAGTATGTCGGTACTTTAAATTTTGATAGGGTATGTTTTTCTCATTTGTTCGCTATATGCACTTTGCACATCGCCAGCATAACTGTTATCTTATATCTTAAGGTAACCGCTTATCTAAAGAAATGGGAAACATCTCAAGAATAGCTGATTGTTTTAAAGAATACATGTGTTTTTATTTGATTTGATAGATCTAGATTTTAAAACAAATCACAATTACTACATGTGTATATCTCATGTCCCCAGTGTAGGTGGAATTTCCGATCCTTCTTGTACACATATATTCACGACAAATTTACCATGGAGTGATTGCTCAACCGTTGGTTTTCCGTAAAATATTTAAGTAGACTTTGTGCTCTTCTGCTTTTTAACTCTTGTCTGTCGTTCGTTTAACTTTATTAAGTTTTCTTTTCTGTCATGATTATCACCAAAAGCACACTGTATTTTAATCATTTCAATATTCGAATATAACTTGCTTTCAATGTAATGATAAAAAAGTTGTATTTTTATCATTATATAAAAGTTGTTAGTTTTGTTTTTAATTGCATATAAAATTGGAGATGACATTTTGATAACGAAATAATAAAACATTGGCACATTTTTTTCATTTTTTTGTTTGCTGTACTTATTCGTGTACCCATGATTGTTTTATGTTGTTTCAGATCGGCTTACATGAAATTAACAATGACGTTGTATCTTTTATTTGAATTTTGTCATATTTGATGTTTTAGCTCTTTCAAATATACATAAAAGAAAGCCTTTTATTAAACTATATTTTATAGTTGAAGTTGGCACATGTCATACGCAACACTTTTTCAGCATAAATTGCATCTCAGTAACAGCTAGTACAAATATCATTAAATATACCAGTGTTTCATATTAGCAACATTTGACAAAATGTCATCAAGTTTCGACTTTTTAAGAAAGATTTAGCACATAACATTTATTGTATGAGCAGAATAGTCAAATAACACACAGAAGAAGAAATCAATAAAACTCTGTGAGAGGGCAGAAAGATATGTTCATATAATCATGAATATTGGAATTGTTATAGAATAAAATTGATTAGTAAAACACACTTTAAAACAAAATATAAGAAAGTTTGATCAGACTACCTTTTATCACTAAAGGTTATAACCGACAAGTCTCCTTAATTCATAATTATTTTTCTAATGAGTTCTAATATTTCTTGGTGGAAGGCATCTGTTCCTCGCATCTTTGAACTTTTTGGCGCAATTGTAATAATGTTTGTATGTACCTTTTATTTAGAGTATTTCCTGTTTTAACTAATATACGTTATTTTCCCAATAGTTTTTAATTTTGCCACTTCAACCATAAAGACTACTTTAATTTTCTCCATTTGAAACCATGATGCGATGTATCTGGTTGACAGTCATTGTCGTCAAATATAACCTCGTCTCTCTCTAGCTTCATTTTCGGCTTTACTGTACGCACCTAACTTGACGGTAAGATTCATGACAAAAATTAAAGTTTTTGGTCGCATTTATTTCATTCTAAGTCGCATTTCCGAATCTACGAGCTTGTCAATCAAGTTCTCTTTTGAAAGTTTCGCGTACGTCCAACGGGGAAGCAGAATATGATAAATTAGACAACTAAACTAATTTGGGATGTACTTTGCTTTTTTTTTCCGTCGTACCTTAAACTGAACTCTGTTATAATTCGTCTTGACTAGAAGGCGTGAATCGCTAAATCCAAAAACGTCTGTCTTTTCTTATTTAAATAATCTCCATGTACAGCCCGTGTTTGTCCGACAAAATATTTACAATGCATACATTTCAAAATAGAACAAATAGTCCAACATTTGTGTGTTTCTATCAAATTACGAGGGTTTAATTTAACACCAATTGAAAGTTATCCGTGTGATAAGTATGTCAGTACTTTAATTTCGAAAGGTGTTTTTGTCTTTTTTTCGCTATATGCACTTGCTCATTTCCAACACAACTGTTTTCTTAAGGTAACGGCTAATCTAAATAAATGTAAAACATCTCAAGAATAACTGATTGTTTTTAAAGGATACATGTAGCGATGTTTTTAATGATGTCATGATTTGATAAATGTAAATTAATTGATGCCTTAGAAATAAGTCATTATAAAATTAAAATTCCCAGTAATACTGTTCATGGCTAACATCAGTATGCAAATCGATATCTACATGAACTTCTTCCTTTTTCACAGGTTACACCTGGATCATATTATTTTACAAAAAAAAGCACAAATAATAAATAAATAGATATTATAACTTGTATATAATTGTTTAAATTACCCCTCGCTACGCATATACGAGAAGGGAAAGAAAGGGAATGAGCTGCTTTAGTACGAAATGATAAAGGTACGAGTTGTCATTCACAAGTGGAGTGGGATCTCAAGTTACCAGATATATCGAACACGTGATTATGTACGCCAATAGAAAATTTAGTTTCGTTTTTAGACTGAAAAGTCCAAAATTACACTTGCATGTACACAAAAGGTAGGCAAGCAAATGGTGTGTGTTTTACCAAAAACATGAATGCAGAAATCGTTAACGTTTGCTTTTTGATCTCATGGTAAGTAAGTTTACAGCAAGCAAATGAACTGCTTAAAATTATGATTTATACAATGCAACAGCTGAAAAGTAAACTTCATTTATAGTACAGTTCATGTAATTTGCAGTTGAAAATGAAAATAATATAAACGGCAATGACACCACGAATACGACAGAAACTACTAAGGACATCTGATTTTTTTTTTCAAATGAATAATGTATATTAGATTTAATACAGAAGGTTTCAAACTGTCACCACGTTAATTTCATAAGACTTAAGATGCAAAATAAATTGCATACTTAGTAGATAAACACCTAGCCGCGATATCATTGCAAGGTGTAATTATCCATTAGATGGGGTTTACAGCGTACCTGACCTCTACCTAGTTTCGTGGTTCATTGATCAAGATAGAGTTTTCATAAGATACCATAAGCAGAAGGTCAACTGTATTTTCGTTATGGAATGATTGTAAAGTGAACATATATATAAATACATATGGAGCAGGTGTTGGCCTACACTATGTCAGGTCTACTCGACTGTCTCACTCGATCGACTAAGAAACCGTTATATTAGTTAATATGCTTGCTCAAATTGGCACAAAGGCTCTCACAATATTTCTATACTTTCAATCAAAAACAAATCTAGAAAATCAAAGTTGTTCTACATGTTTGCTCTCAAGTTTGAATTCGTATGTAATAAGTAGCAGATGATTTTTAGAAAAAAAAAAAAAAAATCCTTTGTTGGGTAGATATGAATTTATATAAGACACTTGTTTAGCGATTTGTCATTTATCTTTATATCTATTTCTTATTATTTATACGGCAGGGGATATCGAACTAAATCCAGGTCCAACGTCAGATTCACCATACAACTGCTTGCATAATGATAGTTCAACTGATATGTTGGATTTTTATCGTTATAAAGATCTTTTGTCTTTCTCATGCATAAACATACAAAGTCTTCTCCTAAAAAATCAATAGTTGAAGCTGAGCTGGGGGACTGGGACCTAATCTTACCTACCGAAACATGGCTATAGTCCGATATTGCTGATATCCAATTAAAGTTAGATAATTTTAAGACCCCGTGTCGAAAGGATTGGGATGGAGACAGAATTTTGTGGGGTTCTAGTTTATGTAAAAGAAAATATACCAAGTAAACGACGTCATGATCTTGAAATACCAAATCTTGAGTGTCTTTGGATAGAAATTAACACACAAAAATGTAAATGTGTGTATGGAGTATTTTACGGACCCCCTGATTCTAATGCGCAATACTGGGATATTATAAATTTGTCCATAGAAACTGCTTTCAATTCGGGTATTGATAAAATAGTAGTAACGGGCGATTTCAACGAAAACTTGTTGAATTGTCGTACATGTAACACAAAACTTGCAAATATCATTTTGCAAAACGGTCTGAATCAAGCAATTGAAAAGCCGATATTTTTTTTGCGAAACCAGTTCATGTTTACTGGATTTATTTTAGTAAACGACCCTGACATACTTTTATACACTGAAGTCGGTGGTAACATTTTGGAAGCTAGCGTAAGATATCACTGTCCCGTGAGTGGAATTATAAACATTAAAAAAACACCAAAAAAGTTTTTAGTTAGGAGATTTGGGACTATGATCACGCAGACTTGACTAATTATAAATTTGTTCTAAGTGAAGTCAATTGGGATAATATTATTAATAATAATGAAGTAAATGTTGCCGTGACAAACACTACCAAAACTATATTATTAATAGCTGCAAAACATATACCTTGTAAATTTGTCAAAGTTAAATCTCAAGACCCGCCATGGCTAACTGGTCATATAAAAAAAACTAATTCGGCGCAGAAAAAGACTCCATAAAATGGCAAAAAAGAAAAATACTGCTGATTCTTGGCGGCAATTTCGATATGTTAGGAATCAGTGCATAAATTTAAACAGCTAAACTTGACTTTTTCAACAAACAAGTAAATATATTAGAGAACCCAGAAACAAATGTAAAGAATTGGTGGAAGCTTTTGAGAAATCTTTCCGAGCAGCCTTCGAAAGCGTCAAATTACACCCCCCCCCCCCCCTTTTGTTAGTAAATAATGAAGATAAAGAAGACGATAATGAAAAAGGAAATACATTTAATTTCTTCTTTTGTAAGCAAACGACCGTTGCTGATTCTAAAGCGTCTTTCCCTAATACCCCCTGTCCGATAATATACCAGTCTTAAACAATATTATAATAACCGAAGAGGGAGTGTTTGATCATTTGTCTACGTCAGATGTCACTAAAGCGACGGGCCCTGATGAAATTAGCGGTAGGCTTCTGAAGTATGCTGCTCGAAAGTTAAGTAGGCCCCTGGCTCAGTTTTTCAATACATCTTTAAGTGAAGCTGTTTATCCTGAAAACTGGAAGTTAGCAAGCGTTATACCAGTATTCAAAAGTGGTGATAGGGAACTGGTGTCAAACTATAGGCCGATATTACTTTTGTCTATCATTGGTAAGAGTATGGAACGTTTTGTTTTTAAGCATTTCTTTAACTTTGACAAAACATAATATAATAACAAGTGCCCAGTCAGGTTTCATGCCTGGAGATTCTACAATTAATCAACTTTTACACATAACAGATTTATTTGGCAAAGCTCTTGACTCAGGAGAAGAGATTCGTGTTGTCTTTTTTGATATAAGTCGTGATTTCGATCGAGTCTGGCATGAAGGTCTAATTTATAAACTTAGAAATATTGGTATAAGAGGAAACCTATTAAAGTGGTTTATGAGCTATTTGTCAAATCGGAAACAAAAAAGTTGTTATTCCTGGTCAATCCTCGGATACTTTTGGTGTAAATGCTGGCGTCCCACAAGGATCAATATTAGGCCCCTTACTTTTCTTAGTATATATAAATGACATTGTAAGCGACATAGACTCTAATATAAAACTATATGCCGATACTTCCCTTTTCATAGTAGTTGAAGATGAATATGCAGCAGCGAGCAAACTTAATTCTGATATAGAGACTATCAACAATTGGTCAATCCAATGGCCAGTAAACTTTAATGCAAAAAAGACTGAAGCTATGACTATTTCTAAGAAATCAGTAAAACCCCATCACCCCCCTCTTTATATGAATGATAATATAATTTCGGAAGTAGAAAGCCACAAACACCTTGGTTTAATTTTTCATGAGGATGGTTCGTGGCATTCTCATGTCAATAAAATAATTGAAAAGATAACACCCAGATTAAATTTATTTCGTGCTCTTAAATTCAAATTGAAAAGAAAGTATTTACAAGCTATATATTTAAGTTTTATCCGACCTTTATTTGAATATACAGTTATTATTTGGGACAATATTCCAGACACTTTAAGTGATAAACAAGAAAATATGCAAGTTGAAGCGGCTAGGATAGTTACTGGTGGTATCAAGTTATCATCCTTAAACAAATTATACGTCGAAACGGGATGGGAGTTACTATCAGAAAAACGTAAGAAACACAAAATTCTAAAATTTCATGAAATGTTTCACAATAAGACCCCTGATTATCTAAGCGGTATTATCCCTCAACAATTGTTTAATATTCATAACTATGACACAAGACGAAAGAATGACACGCAACATATAAAGTGTAGAACAGCATTTTATCAGAAATCTTTTCTTCTATCAGTTATTCGATCCTGGAATGCTATTCCAGACGATATCAGCTTAATTCCATCTAAGTTTACACTTAAACGTTACCTTAATCAAAACGTAAGTAAAATACCAAATTATTATTTTTATGGAGACAGGAAGGGACAAATACTTCATGCCAGACTTCGAATGGATTGCAATAATCTAAATGAACATTTATTTAAGAGAAATCTTGTTGAAAGTAAAAACAGAATCGGGAGCAGTAAGCATTTTCTTTTCGAGTGTAATAATTACTCCCTTGTTCGAAAACGTACGATAGAAACAATTCCGTTCCAATACAATATAAAAACACTCGTGTTTAGCAGCGTTATTCTCAGACAAGAGGACAATCTACTCCTCTTTAAACAAGTGCAACAATTTTAGTAGATTCAAAGCGATTTGGAATAAGTGGGTTTGCTATTTTAACATATTTCATCAACAAGTTTATGCGAACTTAAAGACGTGACGTATTTGTTGATAAAAGTATAATTTTATGGTTAGAATCGCGATTTGGGTGAGACAGTCTTGACATAGTCCTGGAAACACATACCGCCGCCGGTACATATATATAGGAAAGATCTGACGAAAAAAAAATTAACCTTTTATTTGCAGTTATTTCCCTTTTTCTTTTTGACAGGGAGACGGATTTATATAAGGGAATTGTTGTTTCCGAATCCCTTTGTATTAATGTATTACTGTATTGATATTTATATGTCATGTACATGATTTTTGAAATAAAATATGTTTAAAGTAAAGTGAACATGTCTTTATAGGAGGTTTTATTTGACATTGACCTATTTTTTCTGGTTCATTTATGAGTGTTTTTTTTTTGTGTTTTCGTTCATTGTCCTGAGACAATAAGCATTATATCAACTATATTTGGTGTATAGAATGATCGTAAGGTATACAATTCTATCTGGCAGAGTTTAACTAACCCTGGCTTCATTTTCATGGTTCAAAAATAAAAGCAACAGTAGTATATTGCTGTTCAATAGTCATAAATCGATTAAGCGAAAACAAATTCGGTTTACAAACTTAAACCGATGGAAGCACACCAACTATAAGAGGAAAACAACGTAACAACAGAAAAACTGAACTGCAACAAACAAACGCCAACATACATAGTAACGGACTATTTGATAACGATTGCTATTGCTAAATGTTCATTTGAAGTCCATTTCTCGGATGCGTTAAGCGATATATCAAACTATATGTGGTTATGGAATGATTGAAGGGTGCACAATGTGCACATATCTGTCTGGTAGAGTTCATCTGACCTTGAACTCTTGTTCATGATACCGTGGTCAAAATTTACTTTTATTGGTTAGTTTTGTTTCTCAGACATTAAGTTTAATGTAATATTATCTCAATTTGGTGAACATAAAAATTAAGGCGTCAATGTCCGTCTGACAGGGTTAGACTGTACTTTACCCTATATACCTGGATCATTAAAAATTTTAATGTTATGTTATACTTGTTGTATAACGTTTTACAAGATTTTCAGCATAAATTCAAGTATGATCAGTAAGGATCACTCGAGAAATGTTAGCGTGTCATTTCTTGTTGAATTTTAAAGGATAATTATTCCATGTTTAATCATGAAACAATGGTTTTCCAAATGGTTGTATAGTTCGTACACGATCGCGAAAATTCATCGAGTATCTGGTTAATGAATGTACAAAAAGGACAACTAAAATGTCGTCGACATGGGTCCCTGATTCAAACGTATCTTCCCCAAAGTCCTACTTTCTTCCTCCTTACTCCTGGCCGAAAATCGGTGAAGCACATTTTCCCAGAAAATCGCATTTTTTTGCCCCCAACCCGTCATTCTAATTACCCAGTTTCCCCCTGACTCAAATTCCCTTCTCCCTGACTCCGGCTTCCCTTCCCTAACATCCACTTCCCGCTCATCGTTCTCATGTTTCCTTACCTCTATCCGACTCCTTTTCTTAAGTGGGTTTGCTATTTTAACATATTTCATCAAAAAGTTTAGGCGAACTTAAAGACGTGACGTATTTGTTGATACAAGTATAATTTCTGGTCTTAGAAGTAACACGTAGAGTTAATAATTTTAAAGCCATGTGTACCTCATTTCCTCCTCATATGTTACGTTGTGACAGCTAAAATGTTCATGCACACTAGATCGAGTATCAATGATGAGTTTATTGACAGGTAAAATTTTTTGTATATGACCAATAGTTGTCTTTGAAGTTTTTTAATTGGTTTGTATCTAAACAATTCCTAAATATGATTTTGTTGATAAAAACAAAACATATTTGAAACGTTTCAGGACGAGTACAATTAGATTTTGAAACGTCTAGCGATTGTTATCAGCTAATAAAAAATACGGATTATTATTAAACCTACAATTTTGGTGTGAGCCAAGGCTTCGTGTTGAAGGTCGTACTTTGATTTATAATGGTTTTCTTTTGCTAATTGTGACTTGGATGGAAGGTTGTCTCATTGGCACCCATACCACATCTTTTTATGTCTAAAAATTATGCAAGAATTAAGAAATTAATGTACAACAAACTATCTAAACTCATTGATACTAGTACTTGAAAAAAGTGCATGGATGTCACATATTCTTTCTGTGTTCCTAGATATATCATTGTTAAATCACCAACGGGTATAAGAAAACATTGTGGTTTTTTAACAAACGAAAGGTTTCTTTTAAAACCGTTACTGCATGGATACAATTGTATAATGTAAAAGGAGTCTTCTGATTTTGTACAATCCACACAATGCACTGGAAATTAGCACAACTATAAATGTATGAGTTTATGGCATTCAAGGAATCCAAATCGAAATTATAAATTAAAGTTATTTTTTTAAATGAATTCTTTTTTATCCAGATACCCAAATTATTCCCTCGATTGTCTTTTTTATACCGTCTAACTAAATAATCTAAAAACGGGATTGAAAAAATGTCCGGCGTAGGTAAATTGATTTTGGAGGCCCCTCACAAGAATACATTAATGCTTTTTTTTTCTTATTCCGTAAATGGAACGTAACTGACCATTGATCATTTAAATATTGACATACGTAGGTTTCAATCTATTTAAAAACTTGAATAGCTTTAAAATTTCTTGTACTTTACATGTTTCTCAATAGAAGTCATATCGGATTTTAAATTTCTATCGCCTTTCATATTTAAGAAAATAGACATAAATAAGATAATTATTTTGGACAACAATTGATTACGTATTATTGTATCAATCATGTTTTGTAGATTTGTACATGTATAGCTGCACTGTCAAAGTGTAAAGTAAAAGAGGAATCTAAATCAACAGCAATGTTATTCAAACTCATGACTTTGGTAAGTCGACTAAGTATAGTTATCTATATTTACAGATCTATGTAAAAGTACAAAACATATTCCTTTTGTTGGTGTTTGTGTTGTTAAAGAACAAAACAACTAACAGTTTATCTTGAATACAAATGACTAATTGGTTGGATAAATAATTTTACTAGCAGTCTAGGATTTTGATACAATAAGCTACGGCAGTAATACATTGATGGGTCTATCAGTCAGTTGCCCTTACATGTACATACTTAGTTAAAATTCTAGTTCTCTGAAACTGCTAAATAGATTGACATCAAAGTTTGTGTGCTTCTCCTGTAGAAGGTCAACCATAACATATGTGATTTTTGTTGTGGTTGATTAACCAATATGGCTGTATATTTTAAAAAAGATGAACATAGGATTAAGCTTAAGTTTTGGCTAATATCCCTAAAACTATAGCAATTAGAAAAAAACTGATGGGATTAAAATTGTAATAGTAACAACAGCTATCTACCATAAAACAAATGAGAAATCTGTTTATTTGATTTTGAGTTATTGCCTTGAATGTTGATTTGTCTACTGTTGTGGCATTTTTGCCAATGTTTCAAAGGCAGCAAGTCATTTCGTACCTTGACTATTTCGTATCTTTGCCATTTAGTACCCAAAATTACCATTTCGTACCCAGCATTTACCATTTCGTACCCCCGATAAAAACCATTTAGTACCCTATGGGTCAATTGCATCTACCATTTCGAACCTCATGGACTAAATACGTGTTTACTTTTTCGTACTATATATTTGTAGAAATTCTCATTTTTTTAAGATATAAAAAATTTGAGATGCTTTTAATTTTTATAATATAACATAAACATCATAAATAAAATGCATCCAGCCGTGGGAATTTTATAAAGACTGATAGTTGGTTTGATTAAGCAGCACTTGGAAACTTTAATAGTTTCAATAACACTTTGTTTGTTTACAGAATTTCTCCTAAATTAATTTTTTCAACTCTAAAAACATGATGTTAAATAGCCATCAAAAGAATAATTATCTGCAAATGTTTTTAGCTATTAACGGTTGTTTTTGTCAGGAAATGCAGTGAAAAGGGACACAAGCTGATTTTCACCCAAGAAAGAAGGCATGACTAAAAATGTTAGCATGATAATTTGAACCTTATGTGACCAATCAAAGACCTTGCTTTGCCTTTTTTAATTTAAGAAAATATAAGTTCATTTATTTTGTATTATTGTATCTGACCTTATAAATTTCAAAAACGTTTGGTAGATATTTTTTCTTTTAATGTTTATTGTATGTTTTCTAAAAGGATTATTTACAAAACATATCTATGCATATCAAATATATATTTAGGTTCAACTAAACCTTACGATAATCAATTGAATATGTCTCAATATTTAGGCACACGTCATAATTTCAAATGGCGCGTGTATTAAAATAAACGTTTTTAAAACAATACGCCAGTACGGCGCGTGTCTTTATAAATCTTCCATGATGTACGAAGTGGCATACAAACAAACCTTCCATGAGGTACGAAATGGTATACATACAAATCTTCCATGAGGTGCGAAATCGTATACATACAAATCTTCCATGAGCTACAAAATGGTATACATACAATTCTGCCATGAAATACGAAATCGTATACATACGAATCGTCCATTAGGTACAAAATGGCATGTATACAAATTTTTCATGAGGTACGAAATGGTATACATATGGTATACGTATAAATCATTCATCATGAAGATACGACATGACACACTTCAATGAGACAGTTTTCACCAAGAAATCAAAAACATATAAATCTTATATGGATACGCAATGGTATACATATCAATATTTCATGAGGTACGAAGTGGTATACATGTAAATACTCCATGATGTCCGAAATGGTCAGGGTACGAAATGTTTTTTCTAGGGTATGAAATGGGAAAGGGGGGTACGAAATGGTTATGGTACATGTTTGACATGACATAATTCGTTTCAAAAACTATGAACGCTAGGTTAAAAGTTTAAGATGCAGAAATATTCAGCGCGTCAAGACGTATCAACCCTATACATTGGCGAACAATTTGATGACTCATTTTGGAGATGTTAATTGCAAAACAATGACTCGCACACCGAAACGTATCTACCCTGAAAATTGGAGAAACAAAATTTCGACCTGTTTTGGAGTAATTGCCAATACAATATCTATATTAATCAGTTGTAAGTTGTTTTATCTTACCTCCTATACATTTTAATGAATATGATTGGTTTCAAGCAACCACGGTGAGACCGTGTATATTACATATATCACATATAGGGTTCTAAGGCGCGGCTTATTTCAATACTAGGTTAGTAGTGGTGTTTTGCCTCTTTATAAAATCAACACGGTGTCGAAAAAAATCTGAAAGGTTTTGACAGACAAAGAAATTGATGACAAACGATTGAAGTAAACTCATAAAACATATAATGGCATTTGTTTTTGTACAGACCAATGGAAGTAGTTTCTTAATACTAACGGTATTGAGGACTTGATCACTTTGATAGGCCACTAGTCTAAATAGCACATGTTAAGATACTCGGTAAAATAGATTCGTCACAGTGTGCTAGTGACCTAAAACGATATATATGGGATCAGTAAAATCCATTTATATCGTTGTTTGGTCTCTGACACACCATGTAACAAATACTCGTAGAATAGGAGTTCGGTCAAAAAGGTTTATTTCAAAAATTCTAATCACGACAAGATCTGTTTTCCATTAAAATGTCCGAAAGTATTTGTCAGTCCGTTTTGAGTTACTCCCCTGAAATAAACATTTTAACCCATTTTCGCCTTTTTTTATGTGTTATTTTGACAAGATCCATCCAATAACCCAAAAATCTTTTAACCTGTGTTTGAGTTATTGTACCTGACATGTTGCTTTTTCTGGGGTTTTTTTTTTGGTCTTTTTTTATGTTATCTAAAAAGGTATAGGACCTAGTTTACATATCTAAATTAAAAAATTATAAGCAACACATAGAACTATTCAAGTATGTGCATGTTAAAGTCCTTATTGACAAACTAGCAACTGTTTCACCAGGTGATTGATACAGGTACATATGTACCTCTTGTTTAAGTCCTTATTGACAAACTAGCAACTGTTTCACCAGGTGATTGATACAGGTACATATGTACCTCTTGTTTGGGTATTTTTTCAGGTTTATAAAAGTTTATTGCTAAAGTACATATTTGAGAACAAATCTTATATGAATGTTTATTAAGGCAGGGTTTCATTATCATCTCATTACTTTGACATATTAGATACAAGATTTGTCTGATTTTGTTTAAGTTTATCATCTACGTCATCTGGTCTGCTAAGTACCGAACGTGACCTATTCCCGAATATGACTATTTTGCCAGGGTGAATTCGCATTGTTATACGAAATGTCTCTGTATTTATACATCCATCACTCATATATTTAGTTATGATGTTTCTGTTAATATAAAAAAGAATGATGTGGTATGATTGCCAATTAGACAACTCTTCACAAGAGATCAAATAACTCAGACATTGACAACTATATGTTACCGTACGTCCATCAACAACGAGCAAAGCCCCTACAGCATTGTCAGCTAAAATTGTCCCCGAAATGACAAATGTAAAACAATTCAAACAAGAACTAGAGGCCTAATTAATGTACAAAAAAATGAACAAAAAACAAATATGTTAGTCCGGTTAGATATTGTGTTATCTCTTATTGTTGTTTGAATTCTGTATATTCGGTACTTTTCACATATTTAGTTTTGTAAGCAAAGTAGGGTTACTCGTTGTTCGTCTACAGTGTTATTGTTTGATGTTGTTGTTTTCAAGTGTGTTTACCTTTTTGTCTTTCATGCATTATATTACAGTTACTTTGTTTATATTTCCTATATGCATGTTAAAGGTAAGATGAAAATCAGCTATTTCATTAAAATCACTTTAAGTTTAAAGCTACTATATATACAGGATTGTTTTGATGATGCAGAATTTTGGGTTAGAAGCAAAACCGACATGGTTAGAAGATAAAAATAATAACACCATTAAAAACAAAATTCAATTTTAATATTCTTGTCATGCTTAAAAAATACATAAAATATCACCATTACCAACTTAATTCCAACTTAAATATATATACATATAATTAGTATTTTTGTACGTATCTATAAACAAAAATCTATTTTATTTAAAGAAATTTATCTGTGATAATATAAACGTCACAAAAAATACATTACTTTTGGTGGCGTTGATTAATTCTTGTAACACGCAGTTTATACTTCGTTTGTGGTGTCCTGGTGTGCTGTCGTAAGTTCATGGCATGTGCCCGTTGTTATTCTGTGGTGTACATGTTGTAATGTACTATTGAAATATTTATTTATGTATTTTTTCTGTGCTGAGAGCTCCTGTGTTTGTTTATACTATATTCCTGTCACATAGTGTTGTCATGTCAGCGGTATCTTTAACATTGGCATATGATCATGAAGTTTGGCTAGCCTTAAAACTAGGTTTAACTCACCATTTTTTCCAGTATTTTTTTCTTAAAATGTCCTGCACGATGTCAGTTGTTATCAAATAGTCCATTTCTATGTATGTTGGCGTTTGTTTTTGTTGCAGTTCAGTAGTTCTGTTTTTGTCCGTTGTTTTCCTCTTATAATTGATGTGTTTCCCGCTGTTGGCGTTTGTAACCCGGATTTGTTTTCGCTTAATCAATTCACGACTATTGAACAGCGGTATACTACTGTTACCTTTAATTAAGTTTTTTTCCTTTATGACGGCTCAGAGGAATGTAGATTATACGTGTCTTACATTAATGTTCCCTGAACTTAACGTTTTTTCATATGATAATGAGCAATCAAGAGGCAATTTTACTGGTTTCGTTTATGATGATGTAGTGCTGAAAGAAAATGTCTTGTGACATCAAATCTGAAATTATATAAATGCTGAGAATTAAATATCTGTTTGATTTTTATGGTTTTGTTCTGTGTATCGATTTTAGCGTGAGATGTAATTACATTTTTCTGAAGCGTTAGAAAGTGATTTTCCGGCAAAATTTGAGCTAACAATTTGAGATACATACTCTCAGAATCCTATCTTAAGTTTGCAATTTTCATGGTATCAAACACTATTTAACAATAACGTTGGTAAACATATTTCGGAAATTATTTTGACAATTCATATTTTAGAATGAAACAATACTTCTGACCTGTAATTCAATATTTTGTAGATAAATTTTTATCATACAATCATTTATCTTTGATAAAACCAATTTAGCTAATAAATTATTGAATGCAAAAAAAAAGGATATGACAACATACTGATGAATCTTTTGTAGATAGCTACATATGTGCAATTCATTTTAATTAGGCGGTAATTGTATATATTTCCTCAATTTCTCTGCTCATATCGTAAAATTGCATATGTCAAATGTCTCGTTTCGACGCAGAGTGTCTAACATATTTGGTTGAATTTTCGGGTACCAATTGAGATTCGTTTTTTTTTTCATAACTTAGCAGACTTCCAAAAGATTTTTGTGATGCGGCTGCTCAAAGTAGAAAATCACTTTTCTCACATAATAAGTTCTTTGCAAATTTAGTCTTTTTCATACATTGAATAACTCCTTAGTTTGTACACCTTTATGATGGTTCTCTGCTCTCGAAATCAGCACAAATGGTTAATGTCAGTTACTTGTTAACAATTGTATCATGTTACATATCACTACACAGATATTGTTTGTTAAGACACTATTTTTGTGTTCCTCAATTTGAGTCGCATTATGGTTATTGACCCAGATGTTACTCTCGGCTGGCTTTCAAATGTTTAAGCCTGGTATCTATGATGAGTTCAGGGTAACCTTTTCATTTTATGATTTTCAATTAAATCATATCTCAGTCTACAACATGCAAATGTATCTCAAAACATACATTACAATTTGAAACGGTATCAACCTCCTATGAAGGAAGAATAAAAGAAAGCAGGCACCATTTTCTTTTTTAGGTACATTTATGTGCAGCATTTCCATTGAAATGCCCTGATCCAGCGCAATGGAGACTCCGTGCGAATAGTCACTGCGCTGATCCATCAAAATATTTGTGTCTACGGAATGATCTCATCAACAGCTATTCTGAAAATTGTACAAGGTCTGACTTTCAACAAGCAGGTAAAAGCATCAGTCAACGCATCAGTCATTTTATTTATTTTTTTCATTTAAAGACTGTACAAAATAATATTCGAAAGGAATATCAAACGTACAAGAACATAATTGAATACATGAATTTCCAACATTGATTATTTGTAAACAATATGTAATAGATTTTACACTAGCCCATAACACCTTTATCAATTGTTGTTTAAAAATACTAATATACATGCAAGTTATTAAATAGCATATCAATTTACTAAAGCATGTTATTTAAAATCGAACCTCAAACATTTAGTATATGTATCAAATTGTGAAAATGTTATCCTGTTTACATTTTAAATTAGATGGTGTAAATTGTAATTTGACAGTAAGAAGCCTCAAACCAAATAAAAAAGTTCCCTTAAAAATGATTCTTTCACATTGTGTGTACTGTGGAAATTTTAGAAACCAGAAACCACATACACTTATTAGTGATAAACACATACTAGAATGATAAAAGATGACAGAAAAGAAGTTATTTTGTCAGATTTGATTTTGAGAAGTGATTGAACACATTGGGAAATTATTCGTTACAGGTAGAAAATCAGTTCTTCGTGGAGGAATAGATGCAGTAGTCTGTTCTAAGGAAAGATATCAGCCATCTCAACACATTTTTTACACAAATGCCAGTACAAACTGTATCTTTTTAAAATCTTTCTGCAATGAGGAGGGTCAAGTTGTAAATAACCAAGGAGATCGTAACACAGATGCTTCCTGCAGATGTGATTACAGACGAGGTTATGATTTTCTGATTAACCCAAACAACCCGTGCTTTTGTAAACCATCACAAGAAGACTGTTCCTGCTTCTTGAAGATTTGCTCCAATAGTAGTCAAATACTTTCATCAGGTAAGAAATGCTCTCTATGTCTTTTATTAAACATTTATCATTTCGAGGCTTTTTATAACTGACTATGCGGTATATGTTTTGATTATTGTTGAAGACCGTAGGGTGACCTATAGTTGTAAACATCTTTGTCATTTAGTCTCTGCTGGAGAGTTGTCTCAGCGGCTATCATACATGTACCACATCTTATCATTCATATATTTCATTATTTTTTACAAAAGGATACTGATTATTTACCATTCAATCCACCTTCTATGTTTGCTTATTGTTATACACATGTTCGCAGCAAAACACGATTTGTAACTATATTATAGGACAATTTGCAGGTTGAGCTTCAACATGTTCAAGAATATTTCTAAGGTGTATCAATATAAACTTCGACTTAAGGTAGATTTATCAAACCCGTGCACATCTATCCGATAATTTACAGCATTCCTACCGGTTTAGCTCACCTGACCTTGAGGTACATTACTTTGTGTCTGTCATTGTCATTCGTTTGTCCGTTCTCCGAAAGTATTCAGAATATTCCTCTACTCTAAAATACTTCCCAGAACGCAGGATTTATATCCATCAGCTAGCATGGTCCCTGTTGCCGCAAATAGGACATAAAAGTAAACTGCAAATTTTGGCCAATATCTCAAAGTTCATTTCGGACATTCCGTAAAAGGGATCAGCAGCCAAGGTTTAACTCTTTCAATAAATCAAACATCATATTTAGTAATTTTTTCCCAGAAATATCCAGTTTTAGATAATGTCGGTGTTTTTGCTTGCAACTAAGGAAATAAAACTGTAGGAGCAAAATTGACAATGGTTTAAATGATTGGTAGATCAAGGTCCATCTTAGAAAAGAAAATATATGGTTCTCAAAAAGACGAACTAATGGAGCGGCAGCCAACAGTTTAAGTGCAGTAATTAATGAACCGTTCAAACAATGATTTTCCAATTTCAATAGTTAGTGAATGATTACAAATTTGTGGTCAAGCCTGATATTGACGGTCTTTAGTTTTACTGTTTAGGTAGAGAACCTCTAATTCTGAATAAACATACAAGAAAGTAGTACATATCTTAGGCATACTGTTACGTAAGTTAAATAATTGGTAATGTTGGTAATAAATGAAAGCTAAAGGACTTGTGATCACTGCAAAACCCTTGCTTAAAGTTCATATTAAGTAATAAAATATATGAAATAAAATTTTGTCTGTTGCTCAGATTAGAAGTAATTGTTTTTGTATTACCAAACTTGCGATCTTATATGAATGTTAAACATTTCCAGCACACGTTTGCGTTTTATATTTCAATGAAGTGAGTTACTGATAAATTATTTAGTCATGGGTTTCTTTACCACAAATTAATTAAAATCATTAAATAATTCCGTAATTGAAATATAGATTTGATAAGAAATAATTGGCTGAAAGAGTATAGCTCTTATCTTCAACGAGACATCACATTCTTATTTTTACGTTTGTGTTGTTTATAAAGCCCGTGAACTTAGAAACAATTCTGTGAACAACATTGATCCTTTGAATAAACTCATTCCTGAAGGTTATCAATTTAACAAAGTAGTAAAATTTTCAAGTATTTTTTTGTTGGTACTTACATCGAGCTGTAAATGTCTTTCTTGCAGTATGCATCTAACAGTGACTTAATTTACATTGACCTTTGATAATGTAAATTTTTTTTCGATACTTGTAGTAAAAAGTAAAATCACAAAAATACTGAACTCAGAGGAAAATTCAAAACGGAAAGTCCCTAATCAAATGGCAAAATCAAAAGCTCAAACACATCAAACGAATTGACAACAACTGTCAAATGCCTGACTTGATACAGGCATTTTCTTAAGTAGAAAATGGTGGAAAAAACCGGGTTTATAGCTAGCTAAACCTCTCACTTGTATGACAGTAACATAAAATTCAATTATATTGACAACGATGTGTGGACAAAACAAACAGACATAATAGATAAAAATGTCAAAATAGGGGTACAACAGTCAGCATTGTGTCATTATCTTAATCACTATAAAAACAAACAAATATGTAAACAAATATGTAAACAAACATTTACCATGGCACAATAACACAATGACGGGATGAATAAGTACAGAGCCACGTCATATGTAACAAAGAAACACAAAAAGGCATATAGACAAAGCATATTAGCAAAAATAAAAGACAAGAATACAAAAATTATCATAGAACAATAACACAATGACGGGATGTATAAGTACAGAGCCACGTCATATGTAAACAATAAACACAAAAAGGCATACAGACAAAGCATATTAGTAAAAATAAAAGACAAGAATACAAAAATTATCTTAGAACAATAACACTATGACGGGATGTATAAGTACAGAGCCACGTCATATGGATACCACCAAAAACAGACTAAACAGTAGTAGTAATATTCATAAAGACAAATAAAAGAATACTATAACACGTTATTAAGATGATAAACAACGTCAGTACCCAGAATCTATACTTCAAAACCATCGTGTATAATTTTGTGAAGTTGACACGGAATATTTATCAACAAGATTTTGATATCTTTCGATGAACTTTTTTAGATAAAGGACGAGACGTTCTTTGACATACCCCTGGTTCATCAACTTTCTGCTCAGACACTGGTGACGTTTTACAAAGTCTGAGTAGTTGCTGCATGCTCTTGAATACCGAATAAGTTGGGAAATGTATATCCCATATGCAGGTGAAATTGGTATATTGCTTCTAAGGTGGAGGAAATTGATAATTTCAAAATTAAAATCGTCTCGTTTGTCATAGATTCTGGTACTGAGATGACCGTGTATGTCAAATTCGAGGTATAAGTCTAAAACGAGGCGGAGACATCTTTGATTTAAAGACTTCTAACATACCTTCAATCGTACTAATTGTGTATGTTGTGTGTACTCTTGTTAGGGTTATTCGTCGTTGTTTTCAATTTAATGTAAATAACCTTTAGTATTTCCTGTCTTGTGCATGTGATTATGTTAGAGAACGACCATTTAGCTTCAAGGGGTGGTTATGGTTTTTTCTTACAAAAATTTACTTAATGTCAATTATATGACACCAGTGCAGATGTAGAAACAGCTATATGATGATATATAATATGATTAAGGGCTGTTCCATAAAAACGTACAGGGAACCCAGACAAAGACTACTTAAATTTGCTCTGTAGGTAAGTGCGATTGCACGTTTAGAATATTTGCTGGTTTTTAAAATTGCGTTAAGGTATTTTTACCCTATGTATATGTTGGGTTTTTTTTTCAACGCACGGGTACCATGTATGTTTTTATGAAACAACCTTGTTATATAAACGCTAAGTACTATATAATTGGACATTTTGCAAATGCATTAACGATATAAAAATAAGTGTAACACATAACTAAACTTTCTTTCTTATTGTAGATTATAAATGCACTTTTAAATCGGACCTTCCTCCTGTAACTCATTGTAGATCAATAACAGATGAACAGTAAGTCATGATATTGAGGTTCATTCATACAGAGTATATTTTGCATAATTCACACTGATATAACCCAAAATACTGTAATATTCTAAGTCGAATGAAACAAGTTTCCTGGTGATTTTGAACTAAGTCAAATGAAACAAATTTCTGGTGATTTTGAAGTTAGTCAAATGAAACAAGTTTCTGGTGATTTTGAACCAATGCGTGCATATATTCTAAACTAAGTCCTTTATGTATGTTTTCTTTTTGATTATGAATCCACTACATAATAGACCATCATTATTCATCCCGTGAGCGTTGATTGAAATCAATGTTTGTTTAGTATTATGAGGCCCAAGTGTAATGGTCGTCATCCTGATAAACAATCAACACAAAATAACATAATTTAATCGCAGTAAATTTCCCGAAGATTTAGATAACATAAGGGGCTCTTGATAAAGAAAATCATCATACGTTTTGTGTAATAACACACGTTATTCAAATTCAAATTATGAAATTAAAAAAGATTAACAACCCATGGCCACCACCCCTAAACTATTCTCCATAGGTCGTAAATACGTCAAGCTTCCAAAGATACATAGGAAATTAAGACATTAATTACAGAAATGCGTGTCAGAATATTGATATAACATTCAAGATCATGCTTATTCTTCTCAATTTCTTGTTAATTTTTTATTGTATTTATAATTTAAAAAAGATACACTGATTATAGAAATGTGTTACAAAAGTGTTCCAAATATTCGATTTTCACAGGGCACAGAACCGACCCTTTTTCCTTAAGTCATGTTCATTTTTTGTGTTTTTTCTTAGTGTCCTGTCCCATATCATAAACCAACCTTTTATGGGTGTCGACCAATATTTTTCGAAAATTTGGCAGGTAAATTGGAGTCCAAATTATTTCGAACACTTAATTAACTTCTATTACCTAATCTAAATGTTTGCTATAAACAGCTTATAACTCATCATTTACGGTAATAATTCATATCAAATGCCCTATATCTTGGTTTAGTTCATTTTTTTTCTAGTTCTACTCCTGAAAACTCTGTTAATTGAAAGGTAACGATTTGTTATTGTATATTGAATGCAGAAATGTTAAAAATGATTTTTTCATTTAAATTTGCTAAACATAATTATAACTAAATTTATTTCACATTGATTGTTTAGCGATAAATCTTTTTCTTAGTTTTGAAATATCCTATTTGAATCCACTTGTGATTACATTAGCAAAAATCAATGTGAATCATACTGATAAAAACAAATAAAAACAGGTTGATAACAAGTTAAAAAGATATTTCTTCACATAGAAGTCGACGATTTAATGCACATATAATTACCACCCTAACACTTAAAATGCTAATTCGTCAAACCATCACTCATGGTCAAATGTAACTTGCTGCCCCCAAGTTTAGGGGGATGGCTGGGGTATAGTATTTTGTGGAACTGCCCTTATTTCGAAATCTATAATAGATAGACAGAAACTATGAACAACAAAAATATAAGCAGTACAATAGCTGCACAAAAGCTTATTCGATTGAAACCATCCATTGACTTTATGTACGAGTAACGTCTTTATTGTTGATTTTTATGAACTTCTGGATCTTTTTAATATTATCTTGAAATCCTTAGAGAGAAACTGTTAAAAGTTTATTTGATATTTATAACGCATGAAAATTATAAACGACATATCATTTCTTTTAGTCTTTGATATTTTTATGACTTCTTAGTGCAGTTGATTTTCTCAGGGTTACACTAGCTTCTAACACCAATTAAAACTGATCTTTTATATAGCCAAGTGTAAGAGAAATGTTGATCAACATCAATTGATAAATTAATATTTGTGGAGGTCAGTCTGAATTAAGGAAGGGTTGGAAAAGCAGATTGTTTTGAAAAAAAACCAATTGATTCTGATTTTGTTTCGAAACAGCTGTTCCAGAACTGATTGTACAGAGGGTCAGAAGGATCTTCCATTATAATTAGAATGATGGTGGTTATTTAAAAAGAGTCTCTGAACAATTGTACATAAAATTCAGTTAGAATTGTATGCATGGCAGGGAAAAATTCAAAAGTGCATTCCTCTCCGAAATGTCATTCATATAGAGAAATCTAACCTAAAGTTATTCACTTATACTTGATCAGTTATTCAGTGGGTTCCTTTTTTATCTTTAACTTGTTCATCATTTATTTTTTTTCAAAAACTTTAGAATCATCCACCTAAAACACCTTGTGGTATTCAAATGTTCAAACTGTCATAATCTGCCTATTTCGAGTTGGTACCAAACTTATCAAACAATTTCTTATAAGAGTTACTAACAATATGATTAAAACTATCAATTGGTTTTTATAAAGCAGTTTTTGTCTTTTAAACAATTGTATGTAACCAATGAAAGCATTTTCCTTTATGTTATTGAAAACTATGAAAGAAACACAAAACCAACTGTATACGGGAAAGATGGCTGGCTATACAAGACATACACAAAACTGTGTGACCGAAACTGAAAAGAGACTTCTTTAAGTCTGAGAAATTGTCCTTTCATGTTGAATATTAACTTTGACTGTGGATTCATTACTTTTGTGAACTCATGCTTTCAGGATATCCTGAATTTAAATGTCCAAAGAAGCAGGACTTTACTTTATTTATGCTTGTATGTAGACTTTGGCAAAACTACGAAATCAAATATATACGGAAAAGGGTACCCACGAAATAAAATAATGCTTCTCTATTACATTTTTCTTCCATTTGTAGAGAGACAATAAACGGGAAACAGCAAAATTAAACAGCATTGCAAGACCCATAATTTTGTTCTATCACGGAAACCGACTATTTTGACCTGAAATGACATTCTTGTACATATCACTTTAAAATAATACATTTTTTTCAAATATTTGTATACTTTTTGAAAAATGAACCATATAATACCAACCTTTACAGTCAAAATTCGTAGTGTGCTGTGATCTTGTGAATAAAATGTTTAATAAAACATATAGCCACATGACAGCCAAGGATGAAAATGAATGACATTTGTAAAATGAAAGTAATACTCTAATATCTCAAAAGCTCTAGTTAATAGGCAAAGTCTGAATAGGAAAAAAACGCTTTAAAAGTAAAGATCAGCAGTCTATCATATCTACCCAATAGTTTTTTTTTTATTGGAGTGGTGTCTTTTACTGAGGATTTTAAAGATTTTTGCATTTTTGTTTGTATTATGATGAAACAATCATGCATTAACATGAAGACACTCTGAGTAGCAAAATATATAGACTAACAGGTAAATAATGGTTATCAGATCATTGGTCATTGATATTTTGGCTTATGATTGAGGAGAGGCAGATATAATTTTGAAATCAGGGGGATTTAAGTGACTTTTAAAATCCAGATTTTCACGTAAATAAATATATATCATTTTTTACCAGATGAATCATTGTCTTTTCAATCTTTATTTATTACACTTTTAAATTGATAGCTATAATATTCTGTTCGGATTTTACTAAAAATAAAGGCATTTGTAGGTTTTATTATACAGATATTATTACCATAGATACCAGGGTTAAAATTTTGTTCGCCAGACGACGCCAGTTTCGTCAACAAAAGACTCGTCAATAACGCTCGAATCAAAAGAACTAAAAGTCCGAATTTGAAAATCTTTCAGAACTGAATGAGCAGAGTTAACGACCATGTAGTTGTTTTTCTTTTTTTTTTCTCTAAGTATCGGAAATATTGTATTTCTAAAAGTTTTAATTATGTTGTATTGCAGTGACAGGAATGGTAGACGTCCTGACGTCACAGAAGCTTTTCCTAAAGAAGACAAATTTTCTGTTTTTGCTATAGATGCTACAGGTATACGCTAATTTGCGAAGTTTAAATTCTAAGTTGTAAAGCAGAATTTCTAAATTGTTTAAACTGAATAGGCGTATTCCCTCTTTTTGATCATTTTACTACACAGTACACTTTTTTTCAAACATCGTTCTACAAGTCATGCGCTACAATATTATAACAGTTGCACAATTTTCGAGCTGAATATAAACTGAAATAAGGTAAAATTCTTTTAGCACATTGGTATTTTGAAAGGACGAACTATTTTGATTCAGCGTCGTATAATGATGATTAAGGAAAAAGTTATTGCCTTGATGATCAAAATTGTACTATCATCGACTGTGTTGAAGGTTTTTAACATAACAATCCGACACTATCTCGCCATCCACATTTAGGTTTAGGCTGTGGTTAACGTGTCAAATCGTCAGGGAAATTTAGGTAATGAAAGCAGTATTCTAAAAATTAACTCTTTGTTTTTCTGTATTTTTCTGATAAAAACGACCTTGTTCTTGTGTTGTTAGAAATTATATACAGTCTGTGTTTAAAGGTTTTTACTCATCAATACCTCTGTTAACATTAGTGGACTTACTGGAAAATTAATAGAGGCTTATTTATAGTTAAAATACATCTGGTATCCAGAGCAAAAATTGAAACAAATATGTTGCAGTTAACATTGAATAACAGTCTTTTATAGCTAAAGCATTTTTTTTTGCAAAACCAGAAATTTTATGAATGATTAATATTATAAGCTTAATGATCAAACTTTTTAAATTTTCCTGCATTTTACTGTTAGGTGAACAACGTTTTGGCAATTAAATATACAACTTTGTAAAATATTTATAAAATGAACACAACTTGCATAGAAATTAACATAACAATAAAAATTAACATAACAAAAAAACGGGTTGAAGTGCTATAAAATTAAACCTGCTTAATAAATACAGGTAGTTCTTGTGAGAAAAAAAAAATACAGATAGAATGAATACTTTATTCAAATGATTATATATGGTGTGATGTATAAATATATAGATAGATGATAATTACATGTACATTTGTACACAGATAGATGATATTTATAAAGATAGATGTTTAATTATTTATAATGGGAGTTTTTTTTTTCTCATTTGCTTTTTCCCCGACAAATGAGACTGTAAAAACCGGGGCCCCCTTAGTTGCTTCCCTGGGAAACTTAAGGTTGATGTAACAGGTGATTATTAATAAAAATATGTTTAAATTTAAAAAAAAAAAAAAAAAAAAAAAAAAAAAAAAACAACACAACCTCTACAACAAACTAGGACATATGTTCATAAAATGGCATTGGATTTAAAAGTATGATATTCTTTACTTTTCCCTATATTACTGATAAATAGTTAGTTTTTGACAACCAACGTTGAATTTTGACACTGATAGTAGCAGATGCAAGCCAGGCACAGGGTATCGCAGCTTGTTTTTTTTATATATTAATAAGATGGTTGTCAACAAAACAGACATGAAGTACATGATTCGTCTTTGTGTTTATATTTAAAGTATATATACAAGCAAACATAACCTACATCAATTATTATTAAACTTATTTGTATAATGTCAAAATGACGATTTTCCATAAAAAAATCGGTATATTATTTTTGAATGTCTTTTCAGTACCATGGAGGAAACGTTCAGCAAAAGCTGTAAGTTCTATTTTTGGTAAGTTATAAACTTTTCCTATTAGAAAAACTAGTCCAAGCCACCTTAGTTTGAATATAATAATTTTCAGGTTAAATATTGTATATCTGATATTACATGTATATTTACATATTCATTAGATTAATTGATACAATTGATAACATATTGTTTGATTTATGTTCAATTAAAGAAAATATGTAGATTCTGTCAGGTGTATCAACCAGAAGGAAAGTCGGCAAATTTGTACTGTCAAAGAAATGAGGATAAACTGGTAAGGGGCAGAAATTTTGCAATGCAACAGGTCAACTTATTGGTCCCTCAAACAGTTTTGGCATTTACTGTATAGAGAGAATGGTATTCAGCCTACAAATCAAAATAATCAAGATCTTAAACACAACCAATATGACTGTGTATTTATACATTCAGAACATACAAAGTTCACCTCTGTGCGGCTGGGGAAATACATGGATGACCATGTTTATATACCATAGTCAAACCTTTAGGTTTTTGATCATCTGAGATCTGTAAAACAATGCACTGTGCTAAAACTGGAACAGAATAATGGAGACTGCACATACTTTATAACACAATAATAAGATTTTATGTTACAGTATGTCCTTCATTTGAATTTGAATATCTTGTCAAATATACCACATCTATACTTTTCATTTGAATGTGTATAGGCAACAAAAAATGTATTAATTGAAGCGACCTAAATGAATTGGTAAAATGCTTGATAATCAAAAGTTATAATTTATTTCTGTTTTGTTTTGCATTCAACGAAAGTCACAACATGTGAGAGATAGGAATGCAAATCCTGCCACTGCAGCTGGAATTATCTATTTACTACCTCACTTTAATGATCTATTGATAAAGCTATGTTTATATATGATACTTGTATAACAAGTTAAGGTGAAATGCATATATGAAATCATTAACCAGAACCTTTACATGTTTAGCTTGTAAATAAATGTCAAAAGGATATGGTAATATCTCAATTGAATGAAAAACAATGAATATTTACATGAAACATATTTGATTCTTGAGGATTTTTATTTTTGTAACGTTTTATTTAGCTTCCCAACACTTAAAGTTTGACGTCATGTAAACTTTATAAAATAAATATTCTCCTGTGGTGCAACAAGGTCAATATCAACAGAGTTGTTTTAGAGTATTTAGTATAACATGTAGTTTTTTGTTCCAACCATTCAACCAACATGGTGACAATTGCCAAAAAGTAAAACGGAAAGGTAAAAGTAATACATTAGGGTTTTTCTTAATAGCAATAAAAGAAATATGACATGGTCATGGTCATGGTGTACTATTTTCTTGTTGCCTCTCAAGGTAACAAATGACTCGCTATAGGAGTGCTTTTATATCAATGATTGTATGCTCCGCCTACGATTCCATCAGTCACAAGCATTCAGATCATACTACAAAATTACTGTTTACTAAATCCACTGTTCGTGGAAATATATATGCCTTCATGCAGTCGAGTGTCGTATTTGTCTAGTTTTACCTTATACCTCGATTTCTGTAATAGATCAACGGAACTTTAAGTAGCAAAGATTGTTCTGAAAGATCTATACATTAGTCATACGATTTAAATTGTTAATTCAATACTTATAGCAGCATCTTCCGGAGCAACTGTGATTACCCCTAATTTTAGTTGGGGTTCATGTTGCACAGTCTTCAGTTTTCTATGTAGTTTTAAGTGTACTGCTGTTTGTCTGTGTGTCTCTTCTTACTTAGCCTTGGCATTGTCAGTTTAATTTGGTCTTATGCGTTGGAATGTCCCTTTGGTATTTTTTGCCTATTTTTTACGTCTAAATAACATTTTTATATAAAAAAAATAGTTTTGCAAACTATTTTGAATCCTATTATAGTTAAATAAGCATTTGGTTCAGCGAAAATGATCATCAATGTCCAATAAAGACAACAGTAGTATACCGCTGTTCAAAAGTCATAAATCGATGGAGAAAAGAAAATCCGGGTTTCAAAGTAAAACCGAGGGAAACACATCACGTTTAAGAGGAAAACAACTTAACAATAGAAACACTGAAGTGCAACTAGAACACGAGCCAGCATACTTAGAAACGGACTATATACTAGATACTGCCAAATCCCTGATTTGGTACAGGACATTTTAAGAAAAAATGGTTGGTTGAACCTGGTTTTTTGGCTAGATAAACCTCCCGCTTATATGGCAATGTTTAAAAATATCACTAAAATGACAACACTACGTGACAGGAATACAGTACACACAAACGCAAGAACACTCAGCACAGAGAAACGCATACATAAATAATATAATAGCACATTTGAGCATGTAAACCACAGAATAACAACGGACATATTATTTTAACACAGCGGCACATTACACCACAAACCACAAACAGTGACGTATTTTTGTGACGTATATATAATCATAAAATTCATACAATTATATGGAACGAGATCCAAAATTTTACAATTACTTTCACAATACTCGTCTAAATAATTTTCATGATTATAACGGTCTTGAAAGGCTATTTTAGATTTATGCTGTGACGACGTCATAATTATTTGGACTAACACAATACTTTATTCTCGAAAATGGAAATCAACTCGACTATACTGACAAGCAAGACATATGTGAAATGTGAAAATACAAGATGCAGACCACAACGATAAGACATAACACAATATCCCACCGAACCCACTAAAGAAACATAACTAAATACATGAATGTTCGATGTATCAATACAGAGGCACGTCAGTTTTCAATCAACACAAATTCATATGAGCACAACAGACTCCATGGAACCACTATTTATTAGTGATCAGTGTATATTATACAAACAGAACAGATAAACAAAACGTTCATATATAGAAAAAGTAAAGGAATGCACATTAATCATAAACATCTGTGAATTATTAAAGAAAATAGATAGATATATGAAATTTCTTGCAAGTGGAAGAAAAAAGTATGCTCTTCATCAATATCAAGTAAAAAAGATGACGTAGTTTTACAAAAAATACTTGAATAATAAAACAGATATTTGAACAATTATTATACATGTTAAATTCTATGTCCATTTCTTTCCAATATGTCTATTTGTTTTAAGATAAGTTTTAGATTGCTGCGCAGACCATCGATATTAATAATACATGATGTATGTGTTCTATTTTATTCAGGTTGTACAATTGTGATGTTACTTGTTTTATGCCTAAAAAGATTACGGGGACACTGTTTAAGAGGTAGGTCAAAATGAGTTCTCTGTCAAATGTTAAATATGTTGAAAGTGATATAGCATTAAAAAAAGAGAGTGCAGTCAAAAACCAAAGATTCAATATAATCGTACAATATATTTGACAGTAATACATTTTATTCACAAAAAGTCCGCAAAAAACTACGCAGAGGAGATTGGGTAACGCGAATTGTTCATAGGATAACTGTTTTTGGTATACGGGAATTGCGAGGTCTACATATAAGCTTGTATGTTTGTCTAGGAACCAGCTGAAACCCGCCTCCCGGTGCGGGATTTTCTCGCTGTGTTGAAGACCCATTGCTGGCTTCAGGCTGTTTTCTGCCCTTTGGTTGGGTTGTTGTCTCTTTGACACATTCCCCATTTCCATTCTAAATTTCATTAGGTCGTACAGGATTCCTATAACCGCAGCTTCGTCATATGAAAAAAACTTGCACATTAAGCATAAGTTACATTTTAACATTAAATGAACTTACAACTTGACAATCACAACTTCCGTATTCAAACTAAAAACAGTAATGGTTCGCAAGACATAAAACATCATTCTGCGGTTAATATATGTAAATATAATTGCCTATCACGTACGTTTTAAACAAACCAAATGTGTTCCGAATTTCTATGGTCAATATTGATAAAATCATTGCAATGTCCAGATATTGCAAGTTGTATATAATGTGCCCCAGCACGAAGACAAATGACGGAACAACTTAAGTAGAAATGTATACTACTTACGTTGGTGAAGTTGGTATATTACTACTAAGGTGGAAAATGTTTTAATTTTAGAATAGAAATCTACTCGTTTGTCACAAATTCTGATATTGAAAATACCACTGTTGTCAAATTCTTAGAAGACTACTCAGTTATACATATTTTACTACTGGCTGAGAAAGATAATGATTGCACTGAGGCACTGCTTTGAGACTTACATCATTGTTTTTTAATGCATTATATACAGCATTTATAGACATGGTCTAATTTGTTTCCTAATATTGAACTTTGATTTGTTTCAGCAATATTTACATCTGAATTTAACCCAATAAGTTGTATCGAAGGGGAAAGGTTACAACTTAAATGCTCAGTGTATTCAAAAGATATTTTTGTGAAATGGATGAAAGACGATATGGAAATTGAACAAAATGAGAATTTATCAATTTATAGTGATGGAAAGGATCACTTCCTGACAGTTCAGCAGGCTAAATTGAGTGATTCTGGTGAATATGTTATGACCGCCGGAAACGTACAGAAACAACAAACAGTAACTGTTAAAGGTAACCTTATTTCTACCATTTTCTATATAAGACGATACCTGTACCAAGTACGGAATATGGTAGTTGTTTTCCACTACTTTGATGCGTTTGCTTTCCATTTTGCCATTAAATGACACAGTTTTTGAATTTTCTTTTGAGTTCGGTAACTGTGTTGTTTTATTTTTTAAAAGTAGATACAAGATTAATAAAACAACTTAAATCACAGAAAACATTGGATAAATCCTTAAGGGGGTACCCAACACTATACCCCCAAAAAACATGTCGTTTAATTTTTCTTGTTTTTATCTCATTCATAAGTTAGAAATTGGAAATACAACTTCAAAAAACTGATGGATTCGGTCGAGGATTATGCCAGGTAATGGGCTAAACGCGAAAAAGAAGACGTAGATACTCTTTCCGAATGGATTAAGGCTGTGAGGTCGTTGATACAAATCCGAATTAAGAAACTAAATGGGCATATCAATACCCACGCTACATCAATTTTTAAAGACCCAAATGTTGCAAAACACTTGACCTACCTCCATGACAAATATGTTGTTGTTCCCGCAGATAAAGCCCCAAACAACATCGTTTTTGTGTGCAAATATCATTACATAAACTGCTTGATAAATGCATTAGGTATTGACAATTCACTTGGAAACTCAACATATACCCTCACGACACTTACCAAAGAGGAAATCCTGAATAATCATAGGCCTGTTCTATGTTTGGAATTTCAACCAAAGATGAAGAACTGGATCTTCCATCACTGTATTGGATACCTAAACTACACTTTGTCCTTACAAACAACGGTATATTGCTGGGTCTTCCAAGTGCTCCACGAAACGTCTATTTAAATTATTTACATCTATTTTATTAGCAATCAAAGCCGGGCTCCAAAGTTATTGTGAAACTGCCTATTCTAGATGTGGCGTGAATCAGATGTGGATACTAAAAAATTCCAAAGATCTTTTAGAGTACAAACAATCTAAGACTCTCTCATCTTGCAATAGTATTAAAACATTCGACTTTTCTACACTTTACACAAGTATTCCCCATTCCAAACTAAAAGACAAATTGAAAGAGTTGGTATTACTTTGTTTCATTAAAAAGAATGGCGAACGTAGATACAAGTATCTTGTCTTGGGGAGGGATAAATCCTACTTTGTAAAGAATCACTCTGATTAAAACAAAAAATTCTCTGAAACTGACATTATCAAGATGCTTGATTTCTTGATTGACAACATATTTGTTACGTTTGGAGGACGTGTTTTTCAACAGACTATCGGAATTCCAATGGGAACCAATTGTGCCCCTCTTCTTGCCGACTTGTTTCTTTATTATTATGAGGCTGACTTTATACAAGAACTTCTTAGGAAGAAAGATAAGAAGTTAGCAATGTCCTTTAACTCTACGTTCCGCTATATAGATGATGTTTTTTCACTAAATAATACAAAATTTGGTGACTATGTTGAACGAATCTATCCCATCGAACTAAAGATAAAGGATACTACAGATACAGTTGAGTCTGCCTCATATCTTGACTTACATATAGAAATTGACAATGAGGGTCGGTTGAAAACAAATCTTTACGACAAAAGAGATGATTTCAGCTTCCCAATTGTGAACTTTCCATTTCTATGTAGCAACATTCCAGCAGCGCCTGCATACGGAGTATATATCTCCCAATTGATACGATATTCCCGGGCTTGTGTTTCCTATCATGATTTCCTTGATAGAGGATTGCTGCTCACAAGGAAGCTATTAAACCAAGAGTTCCAAATGGTGAAGTTGAAATCATCCCTTCGTAAATTTTACGGACGTCATCACGAGTTGGTTGACTGTTATGGAATAACCGTTTCACAGATGATATCGGATATGTTCATTATGTCGTAACTACAATACCCTTCCATTTTCACGAATGTGACTTACCGAATTAGACTATTTACCGGATTTGTAATAACATAAGCAAAACGACGGTTGCCACATGTGGAGCAGGATCTGCTTACCCTTCCGGAGCACCTGAGATCACCCCCAGTTTTTGGTGGGGTTCGTGTTGCTTAGTCTTTAGTTTTCTATGTTGTGTCATCTGTACTATTATTTGTCTGTTTGTCTTTTTATTTTTAGCCATGGCGTTGTCAGTTTGTATTCGATCTATGAGTTTGACTGTCCCTCTGGTATCTTTCGTCCCTCTTTTAGGCCTAGCTGAACATCATGTAAAAATTTTTAAAGATTTGAACCGTTGGTAAAAAAGATATGGCCACCCAAATATGGCATGAGTCACATGCTAATTTTGGTCAATTTTTGAAGTTCCAGAAATATATGTATAGGGGTATACATGTTATTTAATTTTTTTTAAATTAAGCCTCAATTGACAACAGCATAGTTAATAGTGATGAATCAGGCAATTTTTAGTTAATTGATACCCTTTACTTGTAAGTTTGTGTTTCTAAATTTAAATTTTAGTCTAAAATAAAAAGGGGGCTCTTAGATGAAGGAACAAAAAATGACTATGATTGGTCGAATATTTTAAGATAAAAATGTTAATTTAAAAAAATGTGTCGTTTATTTTTTTTTTAAACCATTTGTAGTACTTAATCAGATTGTTATTCTCGCAAAAATTTATAACAATTTAACCGTCAGATTGTTTTCAATTCAAGATAAAAAATTTACCCCCACCCTCAATAAATAAGAGCAAGTTCCGTTCTGATAGTTCATTTTTTTTTCTTTTGATCTAGGCCTTAGATATTTGGCATGTGGTTGTATAGTCATGAGGTTATGTGTCTTGTATCATGATGACCTTCATGTGACCTGCAAATTTGACCTCAAGGTCAACTTAATGTATTTCTTTGCAAGAAACACAACCAGGCAATAAAGTCTTCGTCTTTTGATCTATACCTTACATCATTGGCATGTGGATGTATCATCATGAAGTGGTGTGTCCCTTACAGTTTCGACCTTCAATGTTTTATATAGAGTCAATATTCAGTTAACAAATACATATTACACAAGCTCTTATCGACCATACAACAATATAGACACACATTATGACATATCAACAAATTCCATGCACACGGAATACATAAAGGACATGTAATTACATAAAAAATTAAAAAAAGGTATAGTTTCTAGTGAGGCACAGTGTGCGTACTTAACTACTCCACAGAATGTTTTTTTTAATTTCACATACAGAATTTGCGTGTAAAAGTACATGAGATAATATAATAAAAAATGGAGTAACCGTTTTTCCTTTTTGAGATAAGAGCTGTTGAAATTAACAGCATGAGACGCCAAAAATATACAAAGGATATACAGGGAAATTCTTATGTAGTCTTAGATGCATCATTTTTCTTATTAGTGCTTATTGGCTTTGAACTAGCTGTCAGTAACTATGAGTACTCTCAGATATGTACTTAGTTTCTTTTTGTTGTTGGGATGTACAAGTACCCGGCCACGTTCACTCTGTGTTTTGTTATATATATTTCCATTTGTATCCATCTGATGAACTAAGCCTTTTTCAACTGATTTGTATAGTTCGTTCTTATGTTGTACTGTTACACCACTGTCCTAAGGTTAGGGGGAAAGTTAAGATCCCGCTAACATGTTTAACCCTGCCACATTCTGTATGAATGTGCCTGTCTCAAGTCAGGAGCCTGCAATTCAGTGGTTGTCGTTTGTTACTGTGTTACATATTTGTTTTCGTTCATTTTGTGTACATGAACTATGTTGTTAGTTTTCTCGTTTGAATTGTTTTACATTTAAGATTTCGGGGCCTTTTATACAGACCTTCTAATATTCAAACTGACCAAACGCACGATACACGCACGCACGATACACGCACGGTTAATGCACGATGAATGCACGGTGAATGCACGATACACAAAACACGCACGATGAGCGACGAGCGTTACACGGAGGATTAACGAAAAATGAATGATGAATGATGAACTCACGATACACGCACGATGCACGCTGAATGATGAACACACGATACACGCACGATGAATGGTGAATGATACACGCACGATACACGCACGGTAAATGTTTCATTGACGAATGAACGATAAGCGCTTAATACATGATTCTAAAAGCCATTTTATTTGGATTGCATTTAGAATTGGTGTATAATAATGAAAATATATAAGGGTATACAAATTTTAGATATCTCGCTTTCCGTGTTGATTGGTCGACAATTTTACTTAACACTCCATGTCTTAAGGAGGCTCGAGGGTACAAAAATAAAAATAAACGGTTTCGTTACAAGTTTTTGTTTTTACACTATTAGTTGTTACTTTATGATATGGTACAAAAATCAACTAAAAAAAAAATCGATTCGTTTTGGCCCAAGATGACTTTTAAAATGTTTATATCATTGAAAAAGCTCCAAATTATCTCCCTTTGGTGCAAAAATGCCATTTTATGGCATTACAATTGAAATTTTTTTTTTAACCCATCGGTGACCTTATTATTGTTTTCAAATAAGCTGTACTTAAACTAAACAATTGTAAAATTTAAGCGATTTCTGTAATTTAGTTCTTTTTTTTATTTCGGTATTACCTATGTTTCTCCTATTAGTTCAACAGAAAAAAGTATCTTAACAAAAATGCATGCTTCTTTCAAAGGCAGATTGTGAGCTTAAATGAACGGTGACCTAATTTTTTTAATTTTATTTTTCTATTAAGTATATGATAAAGTTCATTTATAGAAAAAAAATAGCGAAATCGGATTATCCTATGTTAAAAAAAAATGGATTTATACCCTCGAGCCACCTTAAATAAATTAATTGTCGTTTATCGTTAATGTATTTCCAATATCAATGAGCGTTGTCATATTATAATTCCAAATTTTTAATTCCAATTTAAAACCAAACATTAAAAGATATCACAAAAGTTTTTTTTAAAACGAATGTCTAATATGATAAGGAGATTTGAAAAATCGATCTCAAATAAAATTCTAATTATTCAACTAAAAATAAATTGAGTTAAGTTTGTGTACGTATATATGATAACCCGAAGATTTAC